GCTGCAAAATACAGCATTTCTCAGTGTTCACAGGCCCAGATGATCGAAACTGCAACATTTCTGGCCGAACAAGCTGCGAATACTACAAATTGCTGGGTTTCCGGCCGTTAGCAAGCGGCAAGGGCAGTAACTTGTAGCATGTGTGGCCATTCAGAAGCTCCGAATGCTGTAAGTTGCCACGTTTCTGAGATTCTGGCTGGTCAAGGGCTTTACATGCAAGATTTTCCTTTGTTGGGCAGCGAAAAGGAGGCTTTAAGCCACAAACTGTGCTTCGTAAAAAAGCTAACTCCCGTAAATCAGCGAAGCTTACTTTGTACTTGCTACTTGATTCTTGCTATTTAACAATTGTACATCAATACTCAGTATTGGAGAACTCAGTCGTTCCTACGACCATAGCTCGTACTTACTAATGAGTGATACTGCTGGAACTGACACAAAGATTACAGTCTCTCGGGCGTGCCTTGATCTGAGTGTCGCTGAACAGGAAGACCGTGTGCTCCTCGCTACCGCCGGCCTTGGTCAGCATCTTCTTCATGTCCTGAGACGGAGAGTTTGGGGCTTTTGGGACTTCTTGGGAACAAAAGGCGATTTACGGGTTTAAATAGAACGTCTCGGAGTGTAAGGTCTGCACTGTCAGGGGGCGGGGGAAGTTGGGCAGTTGCCTGGTCCCTACGCAAAAGATGCTTCGATGGTAACATTGCTCTTGCGAGTCAGGTGTGAGGCATTGGCGGCCGACACTCGCAAAGAAGAGCACCCTAAATCCCCGAATGCCAACAAAGGAAGCTTCTGTCGCTTCCCAGTCGGGCAGCAGCAACTAGACCCAAACTATCTCAAATCGTCGATAACTTCAGTACATCTCTGACACTCTCTTTCGAAACTCTTCAAGCGAAGACCTGTGGAGCCACAGTTCTATAAGCCTCAATTCTCAACCACAGCTACTTTGAGGGTTGGGACCCGGGGCCCCGGGCCTCACGGAAGGCTGTCATGTCGTAGCCTTTTGTGATCTCGATCTGGAACACGGTGAAGTCGGCCATGTAGCAGGCCTCCAAAGCACCACTCTTCAGGGACTAGGGTTTAGGGTTTAGGGTCACAAGGCTTCCTCCGATTCGCCGAGTGCAAAACCCAATGAATATCATTGAAGCCAAAAAGTGTCTGACGTGCACCCCCAAAACCGAATATGTCCCTGATTGGTTCACACAATCATCTCGAAGCAGCGCTTAAACTTGACGCATAGATAGAGCCCTAACAAAATCCCAAAACATGACCACAAAATGGCCAAAAGGTTCTCAGATGCGTAGAGACTCAAAGATTCACTGTTGATGCTGAATGGGACCCATGGGTCACCCTAAACCCTAAACCCTAAACCCTAAACCCTAAACCCTAAACCCTAAACCCTAAACCCTAAACCCTAAACCCTAAACCCTAAACCCTAAACCCTAAACGTCACGTGTTCAAGGGCACTGGGCTGCTGGCCAAGCGGGTGCAGCTTTGGCGGCCGCTGCCACCCACACCCACCTGGTGAGCGAAGGATGTTGTTAGGGTTTAGGGTTTAGGGTTTTTAGGGTTTAGGGTTTAGGGTTCAGGCGGTTTAGGGTTTAGGGTTTAGGGTCTAGGGCTCAAGTGATTTTGCAGGGATTGGGGGGGAGGGGGGGGGGGGGGGGGGGGGCAGGGTAATTTAGGGTTTTTTAACGTTAAAAAACCCTAGAAGCTTCTTCAAGGCTCACGTGATTTTACAGGGATTGGGGCGCGGGGTCATTAAGTCAAAAAACGGTCACGGTTCAAGGAGATTGAAGATGGTGAGTTTAATACAGCTTTTGCATGAGCCCCGTACGGACGTGCTGTTGAGGTCCAGTTCATCTGAGGGGGTGGGAGTGCACTAGACTCAACAGGGAGCATGCGCTTGCTACGTGGATGTTTGTTCTATACGGCTTCAACTGGCTCTCAAGTTGCCACGACAGGGACCTGCGCACATGCACTATGCAGGCTTTGCTTAATGTGCGGACAGGCTGGAGTGCATGCAACGCCTGGGTAGACCCTAAACCCTAAACCCTAAACCCTAAACCCTTAACCCTAAACCCTAAACCGTCCTCTATGTGCAACAAGTCCAAGCCTGAACTCCTCCTTCTCGATTGACCCAAGGACAAGGAAGATAATATTTTTGATTTTTGTACACACTTCCCCGGCTGCCCTCAGAACATTTCCTGAATCTACAGACTCCTAACGAAAGCCTCGACCTTCAAACTCAGAAACCAAGAAACCAGAGATCCTAAGACGTCCGAAGTTGTCACAGCTCCCCTAAACTCCAAACCCTAAACCCTAAACCCCAAACCCCAAACCCTAAACCCTGAACCCTAAACCCTGAACCCTAACCCCTAAACCCTTCCATCGGAGTTCCCGAGTAAGGTGGCCACGAGCAAGGCGTTACCGCCAGGACTCTTAATGACGCGAGCCACCCGAGCAAGGTGCTCTAACCTGAAAGTCTGAAGTCTTCGACCAGGGGTCAACGGCTTCTCAACATGTCTTCGTTCGGTTTCTGCAGGCTTCAGGGGGCCCAGGGTTCGACAGGCTTCGTCGGGGTTGATTGAGGGTTCCTCTTGAAAGTAAATGTTGGTTCGTAGCAGCTTCCATCATGCAGATGCATGTTGGTGTCTGAGGTGCGGCTACCGCTATTGGTTGACCCAGCTCCTTCAAGCGCAACTCCCAAATAACTCCAAAGGCTGAACAACCCTGTTGCCATTTTGCCAACGAATTCTCGGGTCCAACTGCATGAACTACCACTCCACTTCGTAGAAGGCCCCGCAAGACAACTCTGCCATGCACACCAAACGCTGCGTAGCCCCCCTACGCCAAGGCACATGTAGAGGAAGCAGACAAGGTCCATGGGCTTGGAGGACATCTCATTGTAACTCACAAGGTGGGCTTCTATCTCCTGCCAGGTACAACGGACTGTGGAGATTTTGGGTGGTTTCGCCCTGCGCTTGAGGAAACGTGTGTCAAGAGAGTGCTTTGGGCGGGGGGGGGGGGGGGGGGGGGTGGAAGCTCATCTATGGGCATGTTTGAAACTCCCTGCAAGAGGCTTCAAGCTTCCGAATTGGAACTCTGGCACGTCGTGCAACACCACTGAACTTTCGACAGCGATTTTGAAAGGCCCGCGCGGACTCTCCAAACCCCTTGTTTGTGAGCCCGAAAGCAATCCCACCATCCTTCTGCAGCACCGTCACGTCAGGACACCTTAGCATTATGATGAGCATGGGCGTGGAAGTTGACTAAATCCCCCGACGCCTGTCAGAAGCCTTCATCCCCAGTAAATGTGATATGTTGTTTGCCTTCAATGTTGTGGGTGTTGGCTTGTTCGCGAAGTAGGATGAGTGGAACTATACAGAACTACAACTTCTCAGCAGCTTTCACTGAGCAGGTGCGCCATAAAACGCAACAACGGCATCCCTGATTCTTCAGACCCGCAAGGCTGATGCTGATATTGTCAGAAAGCTGACAAGCGATTTGCGGTGTTAATTTTGCATGCGCCCCCAGCAAGACTACAATCAGGCGCAACTAGCGTTTTCTGAGTCCTTTCCCTCACAGCTCTGTTTGAGTACACGACAAGCAAGGTCCCTGAATTGACTGCAGCCCAGCAGCTCTGCGTAGGGTCGCATGGGGGTAGCCGCAGGTGAGAGCATGTCGCCGAAGAAGAGCGTGCGAATCTGCGCGAATCTGCTTCCGGGTGCTTGGGTTTTTGGAGCTTGGGGTGTGGCTTTTGCACATGAGAATCATGAGATTATGTCATTTGGCGAGGCAGACTTTTCCTGCTTGTACATTAAGGCAACCCCATGTCGTGTCCCATGTAGAGCTTTTTTCAGGTGATCTCCAAAAAAGAATGTCAGGTTTAGGTTCTGCAGCTACAGAAGCAGCTCCTGACTCCTTTAAGGATTCCTCGGCACCAAGCCTGGGTGCCCGCTAAAAAACGAGTGTATACAAACTCCTGCTGTCTGGGGCCATCTGGGGTGCCGCAACTGGGGCCATGTTTGGTGTAGGGCTGGTAATGGACGGTGTGTTGACAGCACATGACTCTGACAGTGTTGGCGCTCGTGGCGCTGGATCCTGACAAGGGTTCAGCGCTTCCGGCTTTTGACAAAGGTGCCGCTGATTAGGGATTAGTGTTCAAGCAAGCAGCAGTAACAAATAGAACGGCAAGCGCGCCAGCACCACTGCTCATGGCTCTTGCCCAGAATAGGTACAGCCATGGTTGTGGCCACATCGTTCCGTGTCTGAGGGCCCGACCTCATCTAAAGTATTCACCTGCAGGCCACGTCATGCCACAAGATTGATTGAAGAAGGCAGTCGGATCAGAAAAACAACGCAAGGAAAACGAAAACAACTTTCCTACAACTGCTGCCTTCGCTGACAGGCATTCTGCCTCCTTCTTCCACTGCGGCACCAGCACTTGCTGATACGGGCCGCCGCCACACGACGGTCAGCAGAAAGTGTTTGGTTTTGGTGGTGGCCATGTCTTCCATCACCAAATCAACACCCTCAAGTCAATAAAAACAGCCAAAACACACCGAAGCTTGCTCAGGAGGCCATAGGTGCAGGTAATAATACTGTAGTGAACAGACAGGCAATCCGTGCTGCCCTGCAGAAATTGCAAGCCCGACAGAAACCTCCCATGCCCCAATCACCCCACGGCCTTTCCATCTGAGTTGCCATCCAGGTGGTTCATGATGTCATCGAATGACACCTGCACAAACAACGAGACTTAATTAGCCATGCCTAAATTCCATGTGGCCTGAACTCGCCAGGAAACCTTCTGGGCTGACAACCAGGATCTGCGGCTTGGCGGCAGCTATCACACAAGTAGGCATGGAGGTACGAAGTATATGTGGCAACACTGGCGACATGTCGGCAACAGAAGTCGGCTCCCGCAGCAGAATCCCCTGTTTTGTTGTGTAAGCAATCTGGGTGAACATGGGCTTTGTACAGCCCAGGCAAAGCAGGGTGGCATTTCACTCGTCATCCATCACAACATCAAACCTCAGCTTGCGTATCTTCTGGCACAGGCTGGACTGTGTGGCCATGTCGTGACTTCTGCCCTTCTGCCCTTCTAGTGTGCAAGTGCTCGTTGAGGAAGGTTTAGGGTTTAGGCTTTAGGGGTTAGGGTTTAAAGGTTCGTCTCCAAACAGGGAAGGAGCTGAAGTCCGGCTTCAGGAAGGTCGCGAATACCGGCAACGACCTTGTCGCCAGCCTTGCGCAAGAAAGTGGTGCATGTACTTGAGGGTGAGGGGGCCACAGACTAGTCAACACGGGAACGTATCCGGCTATAGTGGAATAGCAGAATGCCTACGACATGTTCCCTCCTTGAGAAACCTGGTCCCTCTGGTCCTACATCCTGCTCGATATGCATGAGCAGGGCGGCAACACTTCGCTCAACTTAGCATAAGCCATGCCGCTCACAACCCGAAGCCCTCTGAATCTGCCTCCAATCCTCCCTAGAAGACGAATCCGTACAAACACCCGCAAACGGGATCAAACCCTAATCTCTAAACCCTAAACCCTAAACCCTAAAACCTATAAACCCTAAACCGCACAAACCGGAGCCTCGATCGGCCCCACCCCTTCCGGTGTTCCGGTCCTTCGGAAGCGGAGCGGGAGCTGCAGGCCAAACTGCGCTCTAGACTGCAGGTGACTAAATACCAGGATGGGGCATTATACCCTGTAACCCCCTTTTTTCAGGGCCCTTTAGAGGGTTATGGGCTGTTCTACCCTATAACCCCCTTAACCAGGGCCCTTTATAGGGGTATGGGCTGTTCTACCCTAGAACCCCCTTAAAAAGGGCCCTTTATAGGGTTATGGGCTACTATACCCTAGAACCCCATTCAAAGGACTAGGGGTATAAGGCCTAATAGCCCATCCTGGTAGTGACCAGGTGCATTTCTATCGAGACATTCGGGATGTAGGAGGTTCGTAGTGTGTGACGTCCCCTAAACCCGAAAACCCTAAAACCCTATAACCCTAAACCCTAAACCCACCGTCACCAACTCCCCCTCTGGTATCCAAGCCACAGGATGACGTCGCCACACTCCAGGGTGAAGATAGTGCTGATGTGGGAGATGAGGCTTGGGATGGTGAAAACCATATCCTGGTGCAAGAGCTAAGAGCCCTTGAAGCGGTCAAGGAATCAGGCGCGATCGCTGTGGGCTTTTCTAGAGCTTTGAAGACGTCACTGGGGCTCTACCAAAGTTGCTGTTGCTGTTGAAGGAGGCTGCTATATGTCAGACCTCGCGTCCTAGACAACTTTCACATCGAACTAAACTGCGGTTGGTGAGGGTGTGCTGTGGCCATGCACAAACGCTGCACATGCAGCATTTTACATCCCAACTGGCTAAGCTCATGCGACAGACCGAGTGCTAGCGAAGACCCCATGTATGGTGCAGCGTGGCGGACACACGCAACAGGTGTGTTTGGGTTTCTGGCAATTTCAGGGCTGGATCCCACACGGCACGCGAAGAAACAGTCCCTTTTGCTGAACACTCACTCCAGCCTTCGTGTTGCCACGTTGCCTGAGGACGGTTTAATAGCAAGCAGGCAGCAAAGCTCACTGAAGGTCACCAAGAAGGGTTTTCTGGGAAAGCTGTCGAAAACTGATATGAAGTTAGATCGGATGAACGGTTGCTACGCACATGGTACAGTGCTCCGAAACTCCGAAAGTCCACGGGGTTATGACCGCATGTGTTCCATCTGGCTGAACAAACCGGAACCTTGACATGAATAGGCAGCATGATATGGGTGGGTATGTCATGGAGGGTTTAGGGTTTAGGGTTTAGGGTTTAGGGTTATGGTTAGGGTTGACCCCGAATAAAATGGCAGGCAGTCAACACCCCAGATCTCTGCTGGCCCCCGAATCCAACTAACCCGGTTGAACAAAACCCGTAGGATCGAAGGAAGCTCAAGACAAGATGCCTCTCCACGCCGTTGACTTGGCAGTAGAGCTCCAGGTTGTGAGGGTTCGGCACACTGAGCTTGTCAATGAAGCCGCCTACGGGGGTGAAGTGGTCCTCGGATGTCAGCCTACTACAGGGAGGCCAGGCTCGGATTTTGGAACAACGGTTGTTTGGGTTTAGGGTTTAGGGCTTAGGGCTTAGGGTTTAGGGTTTAGGGTTCAGGGTTCAGGGTTTAGGGTATTACACAAGTAGTTAGCCCGGCAGCTGTCTAAAGAGATGTGTGACTTTTGAAAGACTTGCATTAGACATTTGAGTGCTTCGCAAGGTCCAGAAAGCACACAGACACAGTAAAACACACCAGCGAAGGCGTCAGATGTAGCCTGGAAACCCAAGAAGGGGGCAATTGTCGCAGATTTTTGATTTTGTCCGGGCAGGTCTCTGGCCTGGCGTTGTTGAAACCTACAATAAGGGGTCCCGGGTGGGCCCGAGAAGCGAAAAGTGCAACAACGAAAATCGCGAATTGGCTCTCCAAGGTGAGCATGAACAACGGCAGAAAAGGTAAAAGCAAAAGGCCGACCGCACGCGACAAAAAGCGGTCAAAAGCAAAAACACAACACAAGCCTAAACATGGGGCCAAGGACCAACAAGGCAAAAAGGTAAAACATGCAGTGAAAACGATTAAAGTGTAGTAGTGGGCAGCTAGCTGACCGAAAGGCAGTTGTGAGGCATGTCCATGATAGAAAGGCACTCTACTCTACGACTTCTACCACCTAACTTTTGAACTGTTTGCAGGTTGTACATGTCCTTTCTAGAAGCAACGGAGGCCCGCGAGAACACAGTAGCAAGAAACGGCCTCACCTAGAAAATCAGGACCTCTGTCCCCTAAACCTGAACTCGAAGCCAAAATTATCATTGAGCTGGGATCTTGAACGAGCTTGAGCAGGCCTTCTTCAAGATTCCTCCCAATCTGAAAACCCATTCAAGCTAGCTCGGCGACGGGGAACGTAACCCTTTGCCACGCTCCAGGGCATTCCTCCGACACGGGGTCTGGAGGTGACAATGCTTACCACACACAGGTTCCTGTGACCTACCGATAATGAGATTTGATGATGAAAGACTTGAGGGCCTCGATCGGTCCACACCCGCTTGGCCCGTTCTAAGAATCTCCACGTCCAAAAAGCACTCGGCCCTACCAAGCCCCGCCACCTCCCCCTAAACCCTAAACCCTAAACCCGAAACCCTGAACCCTAAACCCTAAACCCTAAAGGCTCCTTTCTCCTTGGCCGCAAGCTGCAGATCCCTTGCCGTCAGGTCCAGGGCAAGACAGTAGCCTGCTTCAAGCAACAGCAGCTTTACATGCGTGCAGTGCTTGAAAACTCGGCTTCCTCCACCCATGTCCAGGGACAGGGCAGGAACTCTGCGGCACATGCCGGAACATTTTGGAAGCAAGTTCTACAATACTAATTAACCGTTTTCAGCTTGAAGAAGAAAGGCTGTTTCCAAACAACAGCTAGTCTGCACCGTGGCCGCCGAAGTAGATTCTGCGTCAACAAAGGTCCTCGTTCAACAGCTGCGTGCCTCCTCCAAAAGAGGACAAGAACCATTTCGATACCACTAAACCTTGCCGTGCCGGATTTCGACAGACGACCTCTTGTGAGTACTTTTGTGACAAGCTTTTGCAAGGTTCAGTGCGCAAAATGCCCCAGATTCCTGGACCATTTCCGTTCAAACAAGCACGGCAAGATTGTCAACCTACACTCTTCAAAATCCTGAGGCCCCAGCCAAATCCACAACTCAAAAACCCAAGCCCAGTCCGACAATGTTCCGACACCCCGGGTCAAACTCTGAAAAGATGTTCCACGGCGCCTGCGACGACGCTCAAAGCCTCGGCCTCCTTCACGCGCCTGGGCCAATGATGTGCTGCTGGGGGCTTTGCAGTGCTTGGGCTTTACGGTGGCTGGTGCCGAGGTCCCTGAGCCCTACAAGAAATGTGATAAACGGAATCCCACAAAATGTTCAAGTCATGTTCCATGTGCACTCAGAGCGATAGCATCCCATGCCAGCTAATTGCACAGGGCAGCTTGCACTGCTGGCCGATCACAATGCCCAGCTCCACCTTCGCCAACATCACGGGTGTACATCGAATATTTCTCCTTTGTTATCAAAGGCAACGGCCTCTCTTGGGGAAGGTGCAGAGATCTGCAAACGACAAGCTTGCGGCCCTTTTGACGTCGTAATGTCCGAAAAATGTTTCGAAGGTTTTTGGAGCAGGGTTGCAATGCGCAGTGTGCCATGCAGTGACTGCTTGGCATGCTCTTGAGCTCTGCCAGTGGCATCCCGTGAGCTCTTCGGGGCTCTTAACATGATGTAGGGCAGTTGCCTGTCATAAATCCTTAATGGGCATTGCGAACTCCACTCGAATAGAAAGAGAACAACTGGCCACCCATGGTTCATCTATCGCGCACACACACACAATCGGGGTTGAGGGTTTAGGGTTTAGGGTGGCCTCATGGTGCACTGGCCCGATGTTTCTTGGCAGCCGTATGGGACCGCTGCCTCAGCTGCCAGAATAAACAACACGCTCATGGGTTGGAACAACTGTTTGCGAAGATCAACGAATTCTCAGGCTGTGTGTGCGTACATTTCTTAGAGCATGCAGTTTATATAGAACGCAGCCGTATACAGGGCTCACAGAACACTGGCGACTGGGCGGATTGCCGCGCTTAGCACGTGCTCCTTGCCGTGCCCTGAAGAATCACGTTTCCGTCACGGTCTCCGTTCTCAGGGAGGGAATTTGACGACATTTCGCGGAAGGCCCTTGCAGCGACGCTTGGAAGATAGCCTATCCGACCGACGCCTAGGCAAGCTTTCCTTGGTGGCGGCCCAGGCGGCAATGTGCTTTACGAGGAAAGTTCGTTTGCGAACGGTACACAAGATCGGCCCCCTCGACAACCAGGCAGTTTGCCGGCGACTGCACAGGGTTTCAAGGGTGCCCTAGGTTGGGCTATAGCGGCTATAGGAAGAATCGCAGGCTCTCCTTGACCATGTGGTGCTGTCCGCAAAAGCACCTTGTACGGTGCATACAGCTGGCCTTGGGACATTATACGACCTACGCACTTCCAGTTTGATGGCATCGTTGCGGCTTGACTGATATTTGTGGCATTACTATCGAGTTCCAGGACGAATCTGGTGTCATTACCTGTCAATCTTCATGTTGACTTCCTTTGCACGTTTCAGCTGGGAGGGGCATGACTCCAACTGCACCGCTGGTCCCGGTCTTGATCTCACGTTTGACTTGAGCTGAGCGTATTCTCCGTGATTCGGGTAGCCTAAGCTTCTCTGCTTTCATGGTAGTTCATGGGAGAGAAGCGTCTCCTTGTTCTTTGAGCGCTGATGATATGGGTTTTGGCGATCCGAGCTGCCAGGTTTGGCCCCGCGCTCCTGCCACGGGCTATAGTCTGTGTACTGCTCAGCACCCTTGATGGTGCCAGTGCACGCAGACATTCGCGGGGTTCCGAGAATTCATCCTTTCTAGGCGTGCGTCGTACTCGACATGTACTCATCTCTTGCCACTACGACACAAGCATGTACGGCAACAAAAAGAGAGCGAGAGAGAGAGAGAGAGAGAGAGAGAGCGAGAGAAAGAGAGAGAAAGCGAGAGAGAGAGAGAGAGAGTGAAGAAACCTTGTGCTGCCAAGCAGCCCATTGGCAAGTAGGAGCTTGTAGGCTTCAGGAAAAGCACCGGAGTTTTGGGAGCCTGTCTCAGCTTTAGACAGAATGGAGAGGACTCCCCCCCACACCCAGAGGTGGCTTTGCAACGGAAGCAAGCGTGCCTCCCGCAAGTACGGGCAGCGGTTTATCGTTAAAGGCCCCCCCCTCACACCCAAAAGGCCGGCATGTACACCCCTTTAAACCCCCAAACAATGTTCTATCCATGAGGTCGGGAAGCCATCCGGATTTCGAATCATGCTCCCCAGGCATGTAGACGGGCTCAGCCATTCAGCGCCTATCAAGAACCTTCTAAAACCCCAAGCCTTACAGACTAACCCACCCTTGACGACGTTGCCAGCGGCCCCTCCAACTGAAGACATCCGAACTTCTCAAGGGGGGCCTCTGACAGGAACTTCTCGTCCTTCTTGCTCCCTGGTGGCCACTTCAGGAGTCTAAGGCTTGCGTGCACAGGCTGAAAAGGCTCAGCTCTCAGTTCTTGCGGGGAGGATATATAAAGATGTGCTGAAAAGAATAGTGGAACGAACATACAAGCTACACTACCGGACAGAAGAGTGATGGCTCTGCTGTCACTGAGCTGCCCTTAACAGAGGCAACTTCAAATGCTGAAAACAACCGCGGCTTGACTGCAAGACACAGGTCACAAGACCCTTTTCAAGCCTGCACTGGAAACCCTAAACCCTAAGGCCCTAAACCCTACACCCTACACCCTAAACCCTCTAAAAGCTCTGGAAGCCTTGAAGCAAGGCGGGTCACCGGTCTCCGAGATGAAGCCTCCCTCCAATCCGAAGCCCTCGTTCCCTGGCACCTATTTGCGCCATCTCCTCGATGTGCTTCTGGTAGTTCTTCCCCACTGCCACAATCTTCCTTCAACTTCGGAGCTTAGACAAAGCTTTGAGGTTGAGGCAGTGGCATGCACGGTCCCGGAGGACCAGAAAATCGAGCAGCTCTCAAACAACAGACTGGTGAATGTGTGAGCGAGTTTTGGCAGACGGGGAAGCTCCTAGCGACCGAGCAAGGGAGCATACTCGTTAAGCGCAGGAGTCTGCAGGAGGGACCAGCATGACGCACTGGCGAAATCGGAAAGACGCTAAACCCTACAGCGCAAGAGTTTGCGCCAAGAGCATGTTTTTCCCTACCCAGCCAAGCCTGCCAGTCGCCCAGAAATTGGTGGCCATGGCGACGAACAGCGCAAGGCGGTGCAAGCGAGGGCAGCAACGGGGGTTATAACCCTAAACCCTAAACCCTAAACCCTAAACCCTTCTCTGAAACATAGAATGCTTGTAGGATTTGAGCAGCACAGAGACTCCAGCACACCAAGATTCGGCAACAAGAACCCTTGAAACGTGAGCAGCAACTGAAGCACGCTGCATGCGACACTGGTCAAAGCGGCTGCAGTTAGACAATCTTCCACTAACTGGCAGCACGCAGCACATGCACGATCACGCACAAGCTTGTGCTTCCAGACTTCCTTCCTGTCGCTGCGGTTTCAACATACGGCACTGAACTCGTGGAGCTTACAACTGCCAGGCCTAAAGCCCCCCAAGTTCAAGCCCCCCAAGTGCACTGTCAGCAACATGAGGTGTAGAGCACGAGTGTAACATCCTAACCCTCCTGAACAGCCCCCTTCGTTCCCAGTGGCGGCCTGGAAGTTCTTCTTGGTCTGCTCCCGCAGTTGATGCCTTAAGGCTGCAGCACTACTGCAGGCGTGGGCGTGGGGCTTGAGATCTAGGGCTTGAGTTCCATCGCCTTTTCGTTGCTTGATTTTCTGTCCTGTTTTGGCCCCAGCCCAGAGTTGGAACCATGTCAACCGTTTCGGCACACCACGTTACTTCAAGGATCACACGCCGTTTAGGCCAGCACTTTGATGACTTGTGCCCCTCCTGACATCCTGGCCATTCCGACTCATTCCCATTGAATCTCTTTTCGTCGGATTTCAGGCTTGGGTCAATCGAGATTCTAAAGCTCGCATCTTTGAGCTTTTGTAGCTTTAGGTGTGGCCCCGGGTGTTTGGAACTGATGGTATTAGCTTCAGCGGGCTGCATTGTGACGTGGGAGCCTCGATCAGCGAGCCAAAGCCTGTCACTCTGCACAAGGCCTATCAGGACCTCTGCTGAATTCCTCCTATGCCAACCCATGTTCAAGAGGTGCATAGACGATCATAGACAGACCCAAACAAATCACCTCAGCCGCAGGCAGCATCCACTCCCGGTCGTTGTCATCGATCAAACGGTCACCAAACACACGCAGAATCTCCTAAGTTGAGAAGGGGTTCTGCTCCAATGATTCTGCTTCAATGTGCTCCAAAGATGTCCTGCGCTGAATCCTAAAACCTAAACCCTCAACCCTCAACCCTAAACCCCTAAACCCCTAAACCCCTAAACCCCGAAACCCCTAAACCCTAAACCCCTGAATCCTATTACCAAAGCTCCTAGGCCATGGCCTGACTGCCTTGGTCATGCCAAGCGGCGTGCACCCAAAGCCGGACATGGCGATCCGCCCCTGCGCAGCAATCAACGACCTATTCTATAGATGACACGTGACCCAGGTGGGCGGTGTTTTATACTGTATTATACATTCTGCTATATTATACTAGATTATACTACATTATACTAGATGATACTATATTATACTACATTATACCAAATTGTACGATATTATACTAGACTATACCATATGATACTAGGTGGGCACAAGCGACCGGTCTGCCGTAGAGGGCTGTGTGCGAACTTGCATTCTCGGGCACACCAAACCCTGCACCCGTTTCCTGACATTGTTTGCAGAAACGCCAAAGTTGTTTAGGGTTTAGGGTTTAGGGTTTAGGGTTCTTTCTCTCTCTCTCTCTCTCTCTCTCTCTCTCTATGTCTACTTTGAGCACAGGTGTCAGAATCCATGGACAGGCGTGACCTCTCGGGTATGATTCAATGATTGAGCCGAACTTTCCTGTCCAATGAACCAGGATGACTTGTACTGCTTGACATCGCTTTAGCAGCCATCCAAAAAGGAGAAGTTTTTTCAGATTGAAGGGCTAGTGCTAGAACCGCACGGCAGCCACGCACAATCATCCAGATTGGAGGTTATACCGGAAGCGAACGCGCAGTGTATTTCTATATATATATATATTTATTTATTTATTTGTTTATGTATTGATGTGTTTCTTCATTTATTTATTTGGTTTTATCTATCTATTTTTTCATTTATATTTGTCAATTATTCATTTTCAAGTCAATTTTTTTACTACGAGTGTTTTGCTGTTATTCTGATTGTTAGATCATTGCATATATATTTATGTTGCTGCACAGTCGTGCTCCCTTGCTGAAGAACCTGTCCTCCTAGCTTCACCATCACTCCGTGTTTGGAGGAAGCTGTGATACGCCAGTTGCGGGGCACATGCAATTCGTCAGTGCCTGAGGCTTATCTTTTCCCTGTAGTACTACATCAAAACTACCAAAACCAAACACGTTCGACTTGTGAATACTGCTCTGGTTCCCACCACTTCTCTATCTTCACAGAAGACGCACTGTTTGCCTCAGTTTGCTACGCACTCTTCAAGAATCATGCCTGACTTACCCTAAGGATCCTTAAAAAAATGCACCTCGGGTAATATCAAATTTTCACCACGAGGCACACACACAGAGTACCCAGCTTAGCCAACATGGGACGCGGCTGCGCAGCAAACATAGGACATCAGGGAGTAGTTTAGGGTTTAGGGTTTAGGGTTTAGGGTTTAGGGTTTAGGGTTTAGGGTAGCATCGAAGGTCGGGTAGTTTAGTGAGTCTGGGGCGGGGGAGGGGGGCGCTGCTGCTTAGATTGCTGTAGAAAGAACTAGAACCAAACGATATCTGAGGAATCTGCAGCGATGGGACTTCTATGGCCATGTCATACTGGCAGTTGGATACAACTTGTCAGGCTACCTAAACCCGGTATGAACAGGCTAAGGGTAAGACCTTAAACCCTAAACCCTAAACCCTAAACCCTAAATCCTAAACCCTAAACCCAGTCAGAAGCAGAGTTGTCAAGTCGTGGGCCTTCGCACTCGTTCTTCTTCAGCAGTAGAACCTAGGCACTGCCCATGGTGCGGCTACCCAGAAACTCCACACATGACAAAAAAACCACACACCCATGCCCTCAACTTGGGAAGCCCCCATGTGCACTGACACAAACCTTATAAACTGCCTTAAAACCCTGAAACCGCCACCTAACGCTTTTTGGATAAGCCAAAGCTTTTCCAGGAACCGGTACACAATTGCAGGTTTGATGTTTTCGCAGAATCTCGTTCTCTCTTTCGCAGAACTTTCGCGTTGTCTTTCACGGGACATATGTACGATGTGGTACCTCGGGGGCAATCTGGGTTGCATTAACCCTAAACCCTAAACCCTAAACCCTAAACCCTAAACCCTAAACCCTAAACCCTAATGCGGGCCAAGGCGAAGCTGCGAAGCTTGAAGAAAGCTTAGGGCTGGTTGATGTTTGCGGATGGGTGTTCGTGGTGGGGGTCGGGGGTCTGCGGGTTTAACGGGTGTGGGGTTTAGGGTTTAGGGTTTAGGGTTTAGGGTTTAGGGTTGAGGCTTTTGAGGCTCAAGAGGGCTCGTTGGAATTTGGATTTGACAGGCCATGGCGTTGAAAAGTGGCTTCTTGCCATGTTCTGTTGCGCAGACCTGGCATATTCTCAGATGTTATATACAACTCTTGCAATAGGGCTGGGCATACCACCAACAGTTCAAGTCTGGTACAACAACATGTTCATAGATCCATCTACTCCCAAACGCGGAAGTCCTTGCAAACATGGTTTTTTGTAGAGATCCCTAATGAACACGGCGCAACGAGGGGGTCGCGGCAGGGTCCTTGCAATCACCTTTTGCTGCAAGGAACAGCGGTCCCCAACAACCCATGAAGCAGATCATTGAAGGAGGCATTTGACACTCAATCCCCAAGGAACAGCACGCACTTTCAGTACATCTCAGTTCTTTCTCCAGGTACTAACATTGTTCGGAATTTTTCTCTGGTCGGGACGATACCTGTCACAATTGACTTTTTGTATAAGGACGATACCTGCGAGTGTACTTCGAAGGCGTCCTGTGCTATACGCTATTCTGTCCTGATAACTGTGGTTCATCTGCATGCGCCAGATTCTAGGATTCTGCTTAACCCAGCTTGTTCTCCCGTCTTTGTCGGGATAGCTGAGTCATGTTGAGTCACTTGTGATATGATTCAACGTTTACTTGGCTGCGCGCGTTCTCTTGCGATTTACGAATAGGCACGACTTTCCTATAGTCCTTTCCCGCTCTTGTTTAAAGCAAACCAGCAATGGCTTCTCATGTGAATCCCCATGTAGACACCCCAAACGCAACGACCCCCCGAAACACTCTCCCGCAATGTCTGCTGGTCACATGTAAGAAACGCAACGACTTTAGCAGTTGGGAGTATTCTTCTTCTGTGCGGAACCATCGCCAGCTTCGGCAGACATGCTGCCACACATAATGAAACCGTTCTACATGCACACACAGGCAAAGACCTCTACATCAACTGCATATGTGAGGAAGACAGGCTTTGCCTCCTTGGGCTTAGGCTTCTTTAAAGAGACCCTGATAAGCAGCAAAATGGCCAACCTACTTGCGAGCACAATGCTGCAGCATTCGATACCCCCCACTGTCGCCCAGGGATCGAGCGTCTTCATGTTTGGATTGGTGCTCACTTTCACGAATTGGGGGTGATGGCAATCTCGCCTTTGGCTTAGGCATTTCATCCCAGGCGCGCCGTGCACCCAACACGCCAGGACACCCCTACAGTAAAGCCTCAATCGTAAATCTGGAGAAGTCTCACTGTTGAGGACAGATAAGGCATGGGCACCAGAGATCACCTTTGAGAAGTCGCGCAAGTTGAAGGTGTAGTGCACCTGATCTGTAGCGGAAGTTGAGGGTGGACAGTCTAAGCCTGCGGGCTTCTTTTTTCGTGCTTGCCTCAAGCTTGGATCAGTTTGTGCAGGGTCTGGACTCTGTAGTTGAATTTAGTTGAAGGGTTGGTGGCATCTGCACCACCAGGCTTCAAAAATGAGGACCCTGAAGCATCGAGAGGTGCTGTCTGAAATCCTTGGCAACAACCTGAACCCTACTCTGACACATCCCATCCGAATTCTGCCCTACATCGTGCTCTTTCCTCTACACAGGGTCGTCCTGAACACTAAGTGAAAAAGCGGCTTAGGGGTTCGCATCCAAATATCTCAGAGGTCACTCAAGCCTAGGCTTTCATTCACACAGCACCTTGCAAGCCGCCCATGTGTGCAGCCAAGCTTTCGTCCTTTTGTAAGACTCTGCAGGGCTTGGCATCTGAGATAATACTGCGAGGACTCAAGCGCGAAGGCTGCTCTAACGCGAACAAGTGCACGAGCAAACTGATGACGCTGACAACTCTGTTTTTCGTTGTCTGTTGCTTGCTTGTGTCATCTTTTACTTGAGGAGGCATCCACACTGAACCCTATAAACCGTACAGCACTTTTGGGTTGGTCCTTGTGAGCCCTCTAGCCCTCTGCCCTGCCTTCATCGGGGTTGGGCGGAGCTCGTTGGACCTGAAAGTGTGTATGGGCGTCGGCTTCTGCAAACAAAAAACGCTCCTACAAAGGTCAGGTAGAGAGGGTTCCTTCATGAGAATCCCAAGGCCGTGGGTGCTTGAGGGTTCGTGGCGAGCTGTGCTTCCTCCAAACCTACTGAAGGGCTCATGACTTCTCATGCAGAGGTATGACATAGCAGAGATGCGAGCAACTAGGCAGCTACAATAACTAGAGTTACAGTGACAGCCAGAAAGTTGGAAGGTGGTAATTGGAACGGATGGCCGGAAATGCAATCTTCCAACTTTCGTTGTGCGGGAATCCCGAATCTTCCAACTTTGCGTTGGCACCGCCGCACTGTTGGGTGGCGGTCGCTCTTGTTTGCCCGTAAAAGGGTTCTTTTGTTGTTCATTTATCCCTTCAAAGTGCTTCGTTTTCTTTTCCACCTCAAAGTTGGAAGAAACAAAAAGTTGGAAGAGTCAAGTTGGAAGAATTGAAAGTTGCAAGGTGTGCGACCCATTTTCGAAAGAGCGGAAAATTTGGATGGACACCTTCCAACTTTTCGGCTGCCACCATAAGGTTCAGTGTCCGTGTCTGTCTAGCACCTTCGCTCGAGGTCCTGGCGTGTTCTTGTAGATCTCCAACGTAGCCTGGACCATCTTCTTGCTGAGCCCGGCCACGTCGCCGGGATAGTTGTCTGCCTATCTATTGGGGGGCTCTGAGTTCCGAAAGGGCATCTGCTGTGGCAAGGCGGAGTGGGGGAGGGGGAGGATCGGTTCCGAACATGACACAAACTGCTTCCGATGCAGTCCCACTTGGGAGGAGTGGGCCATGTTGACCATGGTCAATCAGATGCACAAGCGGCACACGCTGCAGTTCAAGGGGCTAAGTCCCAAGCCCCTGTTCACGAAACCCTCAACCGCTCCCAGATCCTCGCAAATTTCGCTCAACACGGTACTCTTTGGCACGCGGCCCGAAACTTCCATTCCAGGATGGTGTTGAAGATTTGCCTTGGCTGGGTGCGCAGCTTACGTGCTTATGAGTCTTGCAGCTCTTGCGTAGCTTTTGGTGGAAGCGATAAAGCCTGCAAACATCACTGGGGCACACGAACTTGTGAGGCCCTGCGGCTCGTGAAGTCCAACTCTCCCACGCCCCGACAGAGGCCCGACGTGCTAAACATTGCGAAACAGGAGTTGCAGGTACGAGATGGTACGAGTAGTTGCAGAAATACCCTCCAATTCTCCTAAACCCAACAAGATCTCAAGCCATGCAAGAGGCAGCAAACAGGCATTACCCAAGTCTACAAACCTCGATGTGGTGAAACTTAATTGATTGTAAACACTTGCGCGCGCCGGCTCGGCAGCCGGGCCGGCCCACGAACAGGAAAGGAGGAAAGAGGGTGCTAGTGGGGTTTGAGGGGGGTGCGGGGTTCTGAAGAGGGTTCAAAATTTGGCATGGGGGGAAGGGTTGGGTTAGGGGGAAGGAGACCGGATCCCGTGTCTGCTTGTTCCAAACGCTCCTCGGCAGGAAGCCGAGCCGAAGGTAGGCGACAGGTTCTTAAACTTATGAAAGCAGAAACTTGACAAACCTAGATGGACCTGGGTAAAGCAGGAGGAGTTTGGGGCTACAGCCCTGAAGCCTAACCGAGGAGCCAGGTTTCAGGTTCTAGCTTCAGGCTAAACGACATCAAACGACCCAGCTTGATTTCGCGTAAATTTTCCTTCAGCAACGACTTTGCATGTCAAGTGATGTCAAATAGGCGAAAGGGCGAGTTGGGAGTTTGAGGCACTCTTGTGAATATTTTGCTCCTCCCGCCCACAGCCTCTCTGGTTTTGCCAATGCTTCATGGACGCTGCTTCTCTACACTTCTACAAAAGGATCGACCCTAGAGTCATTCTATAAGAGAGGCACACGGACTTGCGTAGGCAAGCTGCATCATGTTGTCGTCGTCCAGCAGCGGAAAGCCAACCAAGTACATGTGCCCGATGATCTCAGCCAGCATGGTGCTTTAATAACAAAGGGAGGAGTCCACCAAGGCACAACGACACCGAGTTGTCGCATCCCTAAACCCTAAACCCTAAACCGCTCGTAATGTCTGGCATTCTGGCAAGGCGTTCACTCGACATGCTTGTTCTTGCTCTACGAAACCCCATCGCTGCGCTACCGCCCGGGATCCGTGCCCGCGGTGTGATGAAGTTTCGGCCACCGCCTCTGCCACGCATGGCTGGGACCAGGGAAGACTGAAAGCTGTCCGGGTGTTGCAGATTTACGTCGAGCTAGAAGATGTGAGAAGACGGCGTAGTAAACTACCCTGCCTAGGCTGGAGCAGCTCCAGGCGCTTACAAACACTCGACCGAGAAACCGCAATCACCTAGCCTATACGAGCCAAAAAGTCAGAACACCCCAAACAAAAACATACCACCCCTCATCACCCTTCCACACCTTGCCAAACGGGCCGATGGATCACTCCTTCCTCAAGTCCCTCAGGTCTGTACTCCAAGCTCTGAGCATTTCAAGACAAGTACACTCAACACTACTTCCGGTATGCTTAAACACATCCTCTCATATCTGCACTTGGAATACAGCCTTGCATGTTTGTCACAGCGTATCACCATCTTACAGTGCTGGTAGCATCTATACACATCCCGCTGCACGCTTCACCCGAGAAGGCAATTGAACGCACTTGAATGCATGTTGCCTGGAGGTCCCATTGCTGCGAAGTACAGGACCTTGTCTTCGGGTTGGGCTTTGGAAGGGCTGCTTGGACTTATATTGCTAAGAACTTGACAGCCGGCTATCTAAGTGTATCATGCAGGGCTTGCACACAAAGCCAGTAGAACTTATGCCTCGTGAGGACTGCAGTCGCGCTAGGTTCTGTGAGCAGAAAAACCCAAATTAGGATTCAGGGACATGTGGAGAGTCTCTGCTACTTCACTTGCCGATTCAAAGCTGCGAGAGCCCCCTTTCAGGATCCGAACGCAATCCCGAAAGCCTGAATATTTTGCAGCCAGCTCGCATCAATGATGCTCCGGAAAGGGTGGGTAGCATCCTGACGCATGCCACGTCTCGAGATTAAGAGCCTTTTTTTGGGCGAAATCCCCCGAACAGTTTCTCAACATTGATCGTAGGTGGGATGACTGTCCGAAAACGGTTTTGTGTCGTTGCGCAGCGCTGGGTGCAGATTACTATACCCTTAACCCCAAACCCGAAACCCTAAACCCCCTAAAACCAGCCCGAAGCCCTTAATCTGGAGCATCGGCGTACGGAGCAACGGAGTGGAGCAGGGGTAAGGCGGGCTAAGTTGCGGTGCCCACGTAAGCTGCCATGCAATCCTCTCGGTATCTCTCGATGCAATGTTCGTATGACGGCAGCAAGGCACTCAAGCACCAGTCCAGTTTCCCTCAAACCCGCCGCGCGGCCTTCGCTCACCAACTGGCCTTTAAGGTTTTCGGTACCTCAAGGCCGTGCGGGACACTGGCATGCCCACGTTGTTGAAGCCAGCTTGCGCCTGAGGCCACGTGCGGCACTACTTAGCCTCGGGATTGAGGCCAGCTCGGCCGAAAGAAAGGCTGCGAGAGAAACCTGCGCCCCCATCCAGGCACGGGCTTGACAAGGGATCCGGAGGTGCCGAGCGTCGCGACTTGACGAATCACACTCTTGCTCACGTGCCGTGCCTGTTCCGCGGTCCTAGTCGCAATTCTCGCCTCGGCCTCCGTGCTTTTCCCGAGAAGCATGGCAGGGGTGTACTTTCCAGCTTCCCGGCTTTTGGATGGCGTTGCTTCATGCGACCGTTCGGTTTATCGGCCGGATTTGCATGTCTTCTCGGTCGTCTCCTCGGTCCCGCTACGTGACTTGCAGGACATGTGGCAGAACCGTCTCTGCTTTTGGGCCTAGGACTGGCCTTGCATCGTGCTTCTGTGATGCGATGTGCTGTCGTCGTGGTCCTACCCTGTTCCGGGCCTTATCTGGCCTACGGCTTCGGGAGTTTGAGTTTGAGATGATACGGCAAGAAACGGCCTTCTAACACACACGGATTGACTGCCTCGGGTGCCGTGCAGCCCTGGGATTTCGGCTTCGGCATAATATGGAACAGTATCATTGAAAATTTGAACTCCTATTCCCTATCAAGTTTAAGTACCCTGAAAAATGCAAAATCTTACCCCCACTATGACAAAGGCTTATAGGGGCTCCATGCTTGCAGAGCTCCGCGGGCGGCAGGGAGCCTTTTTCCGAGGAAAGCCCGATTCAAGCTTTCTTGTCCTCATGCCATCACACCGAGGGCTTCTCTGTAACTTTGCAGCTTGCATTTCCGTCCCAAGCAGCAATACTTGCCCCTCCTAAACCCTAAACCCTAAACCCTAAACCCCTCCCAATAAGAAAGCCACCTCCGGCTGCTTGGGGTCGAGCGCGTCAGCCCCGCGTGTTGTCAGACGCAGGAAGAACGGATTGGCGCTCGGAATCTATATTCGGCCGGATTTCATTCGGAAATCTAGTTCCAGAAGCCCAGAGTATCTTTAATTTTGGATGCTCCCCCTTGTACTAACAGCCCTTAGTAGGGATTATAGTACCCCCTATAATGGTCCAGAAGCCAAGAATGTGTTTTGATATAGTCGAGAGACCAGTGGCTCGGGAGAGGCCCTACACAGGGAGGGATAGTTAGGGCTTTTAGAAGGGGCTCATGAAAAATGTCCGTTTAGATATGTTCGATAGAAGTTGTTAGTCAGACTCTCGGATGGGTTCGACCCGGTGAGGCCCACGAAGCCCAAAAAAAACTCTGCTGACTCCCACGGCTCCTTTCGATCGTACCAGCCGCCAGTGGGACCGTAGGCTGTGGCATCCTGGGCGTAAACGTCGTTTTAAGCTCTGGGAACAATGACGGTCAGACAGCAAGCTGTATGGTTGGTGTTCTCTCACCCTCCTCTGCTCAATGATTGTGTCTGTCTTCAAAAGCCCCCGTGTTGTCTATGATTGATAAAGGGATGAAGATGCCCGGTACGACACTCGGAAGATGTGACTTTCCTGCGGACCCCGACCCAGACGCCGAAACAATCACACGATCCTCAGCATGATTAGTCCACATAGACAACTCTAAAGCCCGCACACAAACGATATTTTCATGCGCGGTGCATTGTACTAGGGTTTGAGACCAAACCTTCAGATGGCACTTATCTTGGGCTCAAGGTATTCAAAGGTACTCCCAACCCAAGTAGTAGAGCCCGGAAATCACTTGTTCGGGCTTGCGATCGACATCGAATGACGCTGGGGTCGCTCAACTCTGCTACCTGGGCATCTCCACTCGCCGGCTTACACTACAGTAAGTTCGTCTTCCTCGATCTCGGCTCTACGGCAAGAGCGTCCGCTGCAGCGATTCATGGCAAAGAGAACCCTGCGGAGCCGCTTGAAGAGCCCCGGGCGCTCGTGTTCCATCTCCGGATAGAGGTTCTGCATCTGCCACGGATCAGTTTTCAGGTCGTAGATCTCGGCAAAGACAGGACTGAGACCTTCAAAGACGCGAGGCAAATCCCCCGACGCAGTGCGGTCTGCGTAGAAATATGCCAGGAGGAAGTCACCTTCCTCGCCGATGTATCTTGCAGCTAAGTAGGTGTTGTTCTCACCGTCCAGGCGGTGGTAGTGGCAAGTGCACCAGCTCTTCTTGCAGTCTGCTCCCTCACTGGGATTGCACTCAGGGCTCTCTGGGGCGCCGCGGTCAACATTTCCAAGACTCCAGTACTCAATGGGATATACATTCCGCCACTTTGCAGGTGGCTTGCCGGCGAGAAAGGGTACCAGTGAACGCCCGTCCAGCTCCATCCTCTCTGGATCTCCCCCAGCCAACTCAACTAAGGTAGGTGCAATATCAACAAGTCCGGACACGGCTTCCACACGCGCACCGCGCGCAATTCCGGGACCCCGAATGAGCATCGGTACGCGGATGTCATTCTCATACACGTTGAACCTATACTCCCCCTTAAGAACCTTAATAAACATATTACTTTTAATATCCTCTTGGGTTTTATAATGTTTTATATAATCAAAAATTAAAATTAGTTCCCAAGGGGGGGATAGGGACTTCCCGCTTGGTCTTGCCTGCTGACCCAGGGCATACCCGTGATCTGACGTGAGAAGAACAACCGTGTTGTCCAGGACGCCCTTGCGACCAAGCAAGTCAAAGACATCTGTCACAAGGTCGTCTACGCTCATCATCGACTCCACCCGGGAGCGATACAAAGCATCACTCCATGCAATCGACAGGTCGTCCATTTTGGGCTGCTTTGCAATCAACGGGTGCGCGCCCACGTTGGGCACATTCCAGTTAGGGGTTCGAGGCGCTGTGGCATGGCCAGTTGCTCCTGCGTACCATGGAGCAGCTTGCGTAACATATGGGAACTGGGCATCTGCAAGGTGAGGTGCGTGTGGCGCAATGTAGGCGAAGAATGGCTGCCTCGCTCCGGCCACCTTGTCTAGCCAAGCGATGGTCCTGTTTCCGATTACGGCGGTCATGTAGTCCTGCGGCAATTCTCCCGTGGACACTTTTCGGCCATCATCGTTGTAGGTGTTTGTGAAGTACTTGCCCATGTTGCACAGGGCGAACCACCTGTCCCAGCCTGGGGGCACGGCCTGACCCCCCTTCGACATTTCTCGGCAACCTGCCTCAACCGGGCAAGAGCATGCAGGGACGTTCATGTACTTTCCAAACAAGCCGTTCGTGTACCCCAGCTTGGATAAGTAGGTGCCAAGCTGGTTCTGGACGAAGTATGGCCCGGTCACGTTTGCCCACATGCATCCATGCAAGCCCCCTGAATCCGAAGACCGAAGCGTGTCGACCAAGTTGTTGTGCCCATAACGGCCTCCCATCAACTCAGCCCGGCTTGGACAGCAAACGGGAGTATTCACGAAGAAGTTGCTGAAGTTCGTGCCATCTCGGCCCAGTAGGCGCTGGATGTTGGGATATGGATCCATACCTCCCAGGACATGGTCTTGGTCATCGAGCAGTATCAGTATCAAGTTCGGCTTGGGCTTTGTGCCTCCACCCTGAGCCAGCACGCAAAGCAGCCCAGTTGCCACAAGCAAAGGCACCGGCCGCCACATGGCCAGTCGAGGAGTCAACATAGCCCACATGCTATACGTCGCATTGATCCTGATGCCCCGTACGCAAGAAGTTTAGGGTTTCGGGGTTAGGCCGCTAGAATCCTTGGCCCTCGGCCTGAAGTCCTATCGCATCTTGCCGGAACCACACGCGCCTGCAAAGCTTGAAGGAAACGGCCCAGAATGACCATAAACCCTAAACCCTAAACCCTAAACCCTAGACCCTAAACCCTAAACCCTAAACCCTACTTCAGGGATGCGAGCCTGAGGGTCTTTAAGGTTCGCCTTGCAGCCGCGGCAGAGAAAACCAAAGGGCCTCGGACCTACATCTGGATGTCTGGGAGCCTCGCGGTGCTTTGTGTACGTCACTTGTGTCACAGAACTCAGACCTCCACTCCCCTTAGAACCTTAATTAGTAAACACGTTTTTTTTCAATATTCCCTTGGGCTTTAGGTAAATTACTCCCCTTAGAACCTTAATTAACAAACAGGTGTTTTTTTTCAATATTCCCCCTTGGGCTTTAGGTAAATATAGAAGAAACTAATTCCTAAGGGGTGTATGGAGGCCTCAAGCCGGTGGCACCCAGCAGTTCGAATGCTGAGTGAAGCGCCATACTCTGCCTGAGAATCTCGATTGGGGGCATGGCCCCATACTTCTCCTTCGCAGGCGTTGCACTGGGATATGGGGGTTTCCCGAATTTGGGGGGGGGGGGGGGTACCTTCTTGGGGTCCTGATAAGAAGGGAACCCTAGTAGTTGGGGCTCTATTTTGGGGGTCCCTTATTTTCGTCAACTCCCACATCTTTTCGAGGCACACACGAATAGCATCACGAAGGCCCCTTTCCGTAGCTTATAGCGTGCGCAGTGACAAGAAGCTCCTTACCATCCAACCACGCACCGAGAGCACTGCAGCATGCCTTCACGGGCATGTTGAGATCGTCCACCATGACGACGCACATCCGGCCTGATTTCAATCGCTTTGATCAAAAGCTTGCGGACCGTAAGTACCGGAACACGTACAGGCAGGTTGGACATGGGTCGGACGAGTTGTGCCGGCATGACTTCGAGTCCGGACAAGCGAGAAGCATCGCGCCGAACAGCACAACCCCTTCAACTTGGCCCTCAACCCTCCTGACACAGGCTTTCCTGGTTGTCTGACTGAGTCCGCTGCTCTTCTGTTGCACCGCCGGGGCAAGGCTTGTCACAAGACCAACGCAACCTAAAAGCACAAAAAACCGTCGATCTGAGGGTACGGCCCATGGGCGGACCAAAGACTCCCTTCCTCCGTCGCTCGAGCTTGGCGTCAATCAAGTCCTTCATGCGGGAGAAATTCAGATGAAAGTCGGTCCACTGCGTACATCGGACCTTCAAGTACAAGACGTTCAAGCCTTCTTTTTCCCGACCTCTGAGGCCCAACAAACAGACTCGGCTACGAGAAGCCACAAGATCCAGGGCGCATGATGATGCAAAGGAGAAGGGAGCGAGAGGTTAGGGGTGAGAGGGTCAACTTTTCTGAGAATGGCTGAGTGATTGGGATTTTGGAAAGGTAACCTTGCATGTCTCTGCAGAAGGAAACTACCTCCTAAGAGTCGTTTCCTCGGTATGTGCAGAGAGGGAGAGAGGGAGACAGAGAGAGAGAGAGCTCCAAACCCATAAACCCTTGTCACTCACAATCCTGAATAAAGTTCTGGGCCCCAAGCCCACCCGTGGCTCTTTTGGGTGTCGAACATCTTACAATTTTAAGTCTGCAATGCCTGCTGTTCAGGGCTTATGATCGGCTCGGGGATCTGCGATGCACAAGTGAGGGAGCATGTGGAGTATTAGACTGCGGCTTTCTTCGGACGATCGCTTCCACTCCTGCGTTTGCGAGCACTTCGTCTGGGCGGAGAAGCCGATCTGAATTGACATGTGCCTGGGTGCTGCAGCTGGGCTCGCCATCGCTGAGGACGATAGCACAGGGTTCTCAGAATTGCTGATGCAAGTTTCGCGCATATGTTGAGTTTACTTGGTGTCACCTATGGGACCTACATGCTGCCCTCACAGCCAATGGTCGGACTGCCTCTGATCAATCTTGAGGGGAGCTTCATCGATCACTTCTCAACAGCGCACCCAATAGATCACCCACGTCAAGCAACCTCCATTTCATGGAAATCGTGTAGGCTCTGTTAGTCCTTCGAGCTTGGGGAAGCTTTTGATTTCGAGGCTCCCAAGCTATGCCTGGCAAAGCTTGGCCCGGCGCGTCTCTTTGGGCATGGCCATCAGTGCCTCGAACGCGGGTGTGAACCCCACACCTGTTAGTGGGCCCTTCATGTGTAGCGCACTGAACAAGAATGCCCTGCATGTACAGTTCAGGTGTTAGTGGGTAGTCCGGATTCCGCACTTGCTTCGGCAGATACAACTAAAGTAGGGCCAGGGTCCACCTTCACCCTTTCAACCCACCCTTGCCTGCTGCATGTACACAGTCTTGCCTGAGCTCGAAGAGAAGTTCGCACAGAGGTCGGAAATAAGCGAATCAAGGATAATTGGGAGGGGCAGAGTGCGCAGTTTCGGGATGGGGCTGGGGACCACTGTAGCAATCGCCCTATCTGGAGGTCCGGAATGTTGAGCTGAGCTTGGTTGAGCCGAGCCCGGCCTCCTTGTTGCTCTCCATGCCCGCGTGTTCTCTCAGTAACCTCCCTGAAAACCTTAAACCCTAAACCCTAAACCCTAAACCCTAAACCCTAAACCCTGAGGTGGCGGCCTGTTCCCGTGGGACCGCAGAAGAGCAGTTTGATCCGATGTCGGATGCCTTCGAGCCGACCAGGACTGAGTGCTTGAGGACTTGTTGCTTTGCTCTGGGACTCTATCATTGCTGGTTCCCTAAACCCTAAACCCTAAACCCTAAACCCAGAGTTTTATGAGGCTCTGGGTGCACGCGCCCTGGCGTGAGAAAGTTGCAGGCCGTTTGATACCCAACAGCTCCAAGATTCAAACCGAACCGAAGTGTTGACCCCTTGCGGGGGTTTCCGAAAATAGGGGGTACCCTTTCTGGGCTGTCCCTGTAAGGGGAGTCCGTTCTATTTAGGGTAAAAGAGGTGTACCCCCTATTTTGGGAAATGACTTCAAGATTGCCCAGCCGTCACAACGCTACGTCACTACGTGCCAAGAGTAGAACTTGATTGTCGGAAATCCTGCCGAGGTGCAGTGCTCGAGGATGTAGCGGTAACGCACCTTACAAAGAGCGAGCACCGTTCCGTACATTAAGAGCAATCATGCAGAGACTTGAGCATGCGACTTGGGGAGAAAACAGAAGCAGACGCAACCACGGAAAACAGAAAGCGTGGCTTCACCGACGCGTAAAGAGGCTTTCGAGTCCTGATGTACGTTTCGTGGTGAATTTCATGGCGCCGGACGTTGTCCACCGTTTGCACGATGATGTTCTGAACCTCAGTACATACCGTGGCAAGACACACAAGTCGTCCGTCTCCAGCCCGCTTGAAGCAACCCAAACTGTTCATGGCAACCCTACACTACGGGGTGGGGGAGGGGGGTATCCTTGTTCCAGGGGAACCCGACGATTTAGGGTTCCATTTTCGGGGTCCCCTGTTTCGTAACCCTAAACCCTACACCCTAAACCCTAAACCCCTAAACCCCTCAACCCCTCAACCCCTCAACCCCTAAACCCCTAAACCCCTAAACCCCTAAAGCCCTAAACCCTAACCCCCCCAAATCTGGCCTGGGCTGAGTTTGGGATGGTCTGGGCATCCACTGTGTCCATCCAGGTGGTCCAGCCTTGCTAAAGTTTGCTGGTGGGCGCCTGTCTACCAGGCTCAGCACCAAGCAGATACCGCGTTTAGGGTTTAGGGTTTAGGGTTTAGGGTTTAGGGTTTAGAGATCATTTGTGCTCTTGTGCAGGACTCTCAACTGATGGTCTGAAGATCTGGGTTTGGACGGTGTACCCAAGCCCGCTACCGATTTGCTGCACGAGACTGTATCACGCTCTTTGACTCTTCACCCGGGTTGGCCCCAAAACTCCTACACCCCTAAACCCTGAACCCTGAACCCCTAAACCCCTGAACCCCCCGAACCCCCTAAACCCCCCAAACCCCCCGAAACCCCTAACCCCCCGAAACCCTAAATCCCGAAACTTAAACCCCTAAACCCTAAACCCCAAACCCTAAACCCCAAACCCTCAGACCTTTTCAGCCTTAAGCACCCTAAACCCTAAACCTCAACCCTAAACCCTAAACCCTAAACCCTAAAGCCTAAAGCCTAAAGCCTAAAGCCTAAAGCCTATAAAGCCTAAAGCCTAAAGCCTAAAGCCTAAAGCCCAAAGCCCTAAAGCCTAAACCCTAACCCCTAAACCCATCCCGGGCCTGGCTGCTTCAGGTCCACCACATAGTCGAAGACAGAGCCCCGGTCTGGGAGGTTTGGCTGCAACCTGCAGTCTTGAGCTAGTTTCGTTGGGGTTTAGGGTTGAGGGTTTAGGGTGTCGGGTTTGGGGTTTAGGGTTTCCAGGATGTCCCTTGAAACCCTTTGACAAATATTCCTAAACAGGATCCTCTTCAACCCCCACAAAGGGAAAACATGACATGTCCCACCGGCCTACCTAGTAAGGAGTACAGGAATTCAAGAGTAGGGTTTAGGGTTTAGGGTTTAGATGGCTTTGGGGTTTCAGGGGTTTGCCGATCCAAAACCTTCCAGTCGACCCTCCTCCGAGCGAGCATCGCTGGCCTTCGTTGTTGATCAGGCACCCTAAACCCTAAACCCTGAACCCTAAGCCCTGAACCCTGAACCCTGAACCCTAACCCCAAAAGCAGAGCATATGGGCATATGGGCATCTGGGCATCTACACTGGCATCTCTCAGCGTCACTGCGCCGAGCTCGCGGTCCAACAAATCATGGGCATGAAGTGCCCAGCCAATGTGCCGAACTTCCGTAGGGGACTGCAGGAGCTGCCGTGACAGCAAGACCATGCAGGCCGAGCATCATGAGCTTCGGCTGCCCCTGTCACCACACCGAGCTAAGCAAGCAGCAGCCTTATGACATCCTAAACGTGCCCACCCCCAAAGTATCACCGAAGAACCCCGGGAGTGCCAATCTCAGAGTATCCCCAAGAGGTCCCTGGATTTCCCAACCCCGGAGTATCATTACAGAATCATCCTAAACCCTAAACCCTAAACCCTAAACCCTAAACCCTAAACCCTAAACCCTAAACCCTAAACCCTAACCCTAAACCCTAAACCCTACGTGTCCTCAAAACCGCGTGTTAACACTCTCTGATGGTTTTCTGGCTTGGTCGGACCCAGAATCGGCCACATCCAAACATTCCCGTTTAGGGTTTAGGGTTTAGGGTTTAGGGTTTAGGGTTAGGGTTTAGGGTTTAGGGTTCAGGGTTCAGGGTTTAGGGTTTAGGGTTTAGGGTTTTAGGGTTTAGGGTTTAGGGTTTAGGGTTTAGGGTTCAGGGTTTAGGGTTTAGGGTTTAGGGTTTCGGGTTTAGGGTTTAGGGCTTTCTTGTGTCCCAACAATAAGGGGCCTGAACCAACCCAACCCCTGAAAGTCGCAGGAAAAGCTTGCCCCTCAAGGTATGACACAGAAGGGGCCCCCACTTCTTGTGCGGCTTGTGCATGTCCACCTGATGAGAAATCGCAGAAATCGCGAATTGAAGGGGTGCTGATCTGAGCCTCTGCTACACTCACCGTGTGGAGTCCTTCCTGGCTTTACCGCCTGCTTGGGACCCTAAACCCTGAACCCTAAACCCTAAACCCCCGTTGTGCTGCAACTCAGGGCTCGGAGGTGTAGGAATGTGTAGGGCACGTGCACTACATCGCAGGAGGATCCTACAGAAGGCCGAGTTCAAAGATCGTTTCACCCTAAACCCTAAACCCTAAACACTAAACCCCCAGCTCTGACATCCGTTTTACTACGAAACCCTAAACCCTAAGCCCTAAACCCCAAACCCTAAACCCAACAAAGCATCTTGGACAGCTTATCAGCACTCCTGCTGCAAACGCACGGCCTCCCCCTAAACACCTTCGACACAAGCATCTCAGGTGGTGAGCTTGAGGCATGACCCGGGCAAGACTCGGCAAGAGGACAAGAATTGAGATATCTGGCCTGCCCCGTCAGCAACTTGCGCAAGAACTGGCTGAAGGAGGATCGGCTGTTTGTCCTGTCTTGAGGTCATTTCTCTGGAACAACGTTGCGTGAGGCTGGATGTGGAGAATCAGCCTTGCAAGATGATCAGGGGGCTTGGCTCACAACCTATGATTTGAAAACTGTTGGGTTGACAACCAGCTGATATGGACCACGCACCCTCGCCGGACCTTACAAAACGCTCCGAAAGAGGTTGCCAGGGCTGCTTCAAGCGTGCTTGTACAAGCCCTCACAATCGAGTCCACCTACCCGGCTGAGGCGTCCGTCATTGCTCTAAGCAGACTCCAGCCGTTGCGAAGCAAAGCGTGCTCACAGGCAAGCTAAACCCTAAACCCTACACCGTAAACCCTAAACCCTAGATCTACCAGAGCTATGCGCAGCAAGGACCGCCGGGGAGGCTCGCAAACTGCACCGAAGGACCAGATCGCGCACCAAATTGCATAACCTTGGTCTGCAGTGGACCCCAAAAGCTTACCAGCATGGGCTACTAGGATATATTCCCCCTAACCAACCGGCCATTTAAGGGGATATAGGGCCTATGCAGGTAGCCCTTGAAAGAAACAAATTGAACAAGCAGGTCCTACTATGTCCACCGCGACTCACCGATGTAGAGTTTGCGCGTTTATGCTGTCCAGTCCCCTCCGAGCAGTATATGTATACCACACACACACACACAGAGCACAGACACGTAATTATGCATGCACAATGCTCTCACTTAGCATGGGTGATTAGGCCTTATAATCCCCCTAACCAACCCTATAAAGGGCCTTTTTAAGGGGTTCCAGGGTCGGGTAGAATAGCCCGTTAAACTACAAAGGGCCTTTTTTTAAGGGGTTATAGGGTATAATAGCCGAAGCAGCTAATAACTCCCTAAGAACCTTAATAATAATAAAAATATTAATAATGATAGTCAATATGTTTAATATCCTCTTGGGTTTTATGTAAACAAAAGAACAAAACATAATTCCCAAGGGGGATACAGCCATACTAGCCCTAAACCCTAAACCCTAAACCCTGAACCCTGAACCCTAAACCCTAAACCCTAAACCCTAAACCCTAAACCCTAAACCCTGAACCCTAAACCCTAAACCCTAAACCCTAAACCCTAAACCCTAAACCCTAAACCCTAAACCCTAAACCCATGCAGCTATGACAAGCTGAGCTCACCACAGTCGACCATGGCCACGATGGCTTTGCCGTCAACGGCATCGCGGCTCATGCTTGGATCCTGGATCTCGAGGTCACAGCTGGCTCCACAGGCTACCCCCAAACCCTAAACCCTAAACCCTAAACCCGGGGGTCTGGGCCTATTTTGGGGGGTTCTCCTTTTTCAGGATCCTTGCACATCATGCTCATTGTCCCTTTGAAGCTTGAGTTTGCGCGTTTTTTTGTGGGCTTTAGGCGAACAGGTTCAGATGGGTTGCGCTTTAGCCAGGCTTATACTCTTCCCTCGTGAACGACGCCGCGTCCTTGTATCCGCTTTCGAGGTGCGTCGTGAGAAGGACAAGGAAACTTTGGACCAAGTTTTGCTCTTGGACAGGCGACACCTCAGGAGACCGGGGGGTGACCAATTCTGCCTTCTCTGCGAATCACTTGCTTAACTTTAACGTTTCTCAAAACTGATTTCCGCAAGCATCTGCAATCATGTGCACACCAACAATAGTGAAGCATGCCCAGCAGCCTCTGTTGCATTCTGTAATGCAGTCTCTGCCAGGGTAACATGCAAGGCAGCACCGCAAGTCGCACTCCCTTGCAAACCAGATAGACAGGGCGCACGTGCCCAGGGACTCAAGTCCAGGAAGCAACCGAAATGACTCCGAATGAGTCCAGAACCGTTTTGCACTGCTTCTGCACGTGCGACACCAAGGGCGGTACCTGGGCATGGGAGTTCTGCTTACCTTAGGCCTGCCACTCCTAAAGCATAATTTCAACATGACCCAATTGGGCACAGGGATTCAGGCTAAGGGTACGTTAGCGGATTCGGGCCAGTCCTGGCCTAGTGGTAGACCTTAGGAAGTACTGCGAGGGGCACTCTGTGGGTGATGCAGAGTTTCGGTTTAGGTTTTGGTTTTGAAGCGCAGCGGCAGAAACGTCCCCGCAAGCAACTAGAGTCTAGAGCCAGGGCGCACCATCTTGAAAAAGCAGCAACACTCATCGTGATATGAATGTCTGGGCAGGTCTCTTCGCGTGCCCCCTTGCACCAACCGACGTATTGACCTTGTGTCAGCTGAGGTATGGACCAGGAAATCAACCATGCTGGACAGGGCCGTACGCTCAGCCTCGTCCATCTCCTGCTCAAGCGAAGCTTGCTGAAGCAAAGACCCAGGTCTTTACTTTAGGTTGAGGTTTTTGATGAATTTGATCGATCTCCATGCATGCTAAAACATTCATCAGGTGCTTCAAGACCAAGGTCCTGCATGCTTGCTCAATAACAGCATGGCGTGAATGACGGAGCAGCCTCCCTTAGTCAACAGCAGCTCTACTAGCTCTGCTTGCAGGGCCCACCTGTGGCAATGAGCCCTTGATCATCTTGTCCTGAGTTCGTCATGGGCAGCACCAATACATGCCCTACACATAGCTAAAACTCTTTGCTCTCAGAGTGGTCGCGCCCGAAGCAAAAGGGTGCCTAGAGTTGCCAACGAAGTCCGGACCCACATGTCAAAAGTCAAGATGTGCAGCTTTGAACCAGCATGGGCTATTAAACCCTCTAACCCCTTCAAAAGGCTCTTTATCGGCTTGATTCTGGGGATTATAGGTCCTAATAGCCCCATCCTCTTAACCAAACTAGTAGGGTTTAGGGTTTAGGGTTTAGGGTTAACCAAACTAGAACACTCAGTTGCTGCGGAGGGTCGATGAGATGCTGATAGCCCATAAGGTGAGGTTCGAAGAAGACCTCACAGTGTCCGCACGGGCGAGACTCGTGAAGAGGCGAGAGCCAACTCTTAGCCGTTCCTCCAATCATCAACAGGTTTTAGGGTTTAGGGTTTTAGGGTTTAGGGTTTAGGGTTTTCGGGTTTTAGGGTTTTAGGGTTTTAGGGTTTTAGGGTTTTAGGGTTTAGTGTTTAGGGTTTTAGGGTTTTAGGGTTTTAGGGTTTTAGGGTTTTAGGGTTTTAGGGTTTCAGGGTTTTAGGGTTTTAGGGTTTTAGGGTTTCAGGGTTTTAGGGTTTTAGGGTTTTAGGGTTTTAGGGTTTTAGGGTTTTAGGGTTTTAGGGTTTTAGGGTTTTAGGGTTTTAGGGTTTTAGGGTTTTAGGGTTTTAGGGTTATAGGGTTTTAGGGTTTTAGGGTTTTAGGGTTTTAGGGTTTTAGGGTTTTAGGGTTTTAGGGTTTTGGGGTTTTGGGGTTTTGGGGTTTTGGGGTTTTGGGGCTTTGGGGTTTTGGGGTTTCGGGGTTTGGGGTTTGGGGTTTAGGGCCGTGGCACACTTGCCGCGCAGATAGTCTGAGGCAGGGGCCATGCCATTGCGAGAGATTGTTGCGGGAGACGCCACTTCCACATCCTTAGCAGACATCTATAAACCACTAGCAACATAATCCAAAACCGCAAGCCCACTCATGATCGTGAACAGTGGTCCAACTGAAGACCGCCCTCATGGTGCTTTGGGCAGGTGCCCTCAGCAGCACCTCTCTGCACTGCTGCACCACACAAAACTCCTGACTGAAGATGCTGCCCTCCGCCCTTTCTTCTGAACAAGGAACCACGCACGACGCAAGACTATGTTCCACCGACATCGAACCCATCGTTTGTTCGTTTGCAAGTACTTCCTACCTCAAGATTTGTCGGCAACCAGCACATTGTGTGAGCGATTCGGTGGGCCCCTAAACCCTGAACCCTAAGCCCTAAACCCTAAACCCTAAACCCTGAGGCAACCACCATGGGCTCGATGATTGTGCGCATGTTCGGGGACATGGCCTGGCTTCGGAAGGCCTAAAGGCCAGAGGCTTCTGGGGGGGTTTCCGAAACTAGGGGTACCCTTTTTGGGGGGTCCCTGGGGGATTCTGTTCTATTCGGGATATAAAAGGGGCACCCGCATTTTGGGAGATGCCCTCCTGAACCTCTAAAAGCCCCCAAGCAGGAATGGGCATGTAGATTTCGATCTGTCCACACCCAGAGAGGCCCTCCCTTTCATGCTGGTGGCTGGGAAGCAACATCGGGATCTAGGAGTTACTGTGATTCGGTGGTTGGGACTAGCTGGCCTGCCTGGCAAGACAACGATTCGTCAAGCAAACCGTTCATCACAGCTAGGCATGCGAAGCTACTGCGCCCTTGGCCCACAACCAGAAAAAGAAATAGTGGCTGGGCAGGCAATGATCTCGCCGCTGTTGAGGCAAAGCTTCTTGTTCTCGTCCATGACAGTGTTCCTGTGCTTGAGGTTTTTTGTATACCAAACATGTCATTTTCTTTGCCTATGCCACACATCCACTGTCATACCTCGTCTGAGTTTATGTAAGTTTGCTACTACCCGCGCCCCTCTTCCTTACCCGTCATACTCCCCATGCCAAGGCTCATGTTTTCGATCCAAACGGCATCAACTGGGCCGTCAAACACCAGCCACTTCCTCTCCTTCCAGCAAGTCAGGCCCACAGGCATTTGGGGATTGTATGCTGCAGCTCAGGGGAAGGCGCATCCATGTGTGCGCGTGCGCGCACGAGCACGCGTGTTCATGTGTGTGTGTGTGTGTGTGTGTCTGTTTATGTGTGTCTGTGTCTGTGTCTGTGTGTATGTTTATGTGTGTGGGTGTGTGTGTGTCTCATAGGCGCCAGGGGGGGGGTTTGTCGAATGCGCCTGCACATGTTTTGTGACATCATGCGCCCTCAACGTTATGCACTGCTTCCTGCTCGCCGTTTCGCAGCATGCAACACGCCCGAGAAATTGTGAATTCGGCTCCCTAAGTTGATCAGATGGACCCGGCAATCTACACTGTGTGTTTGTGTGCCTGTGTGTCTTCGTGGCCTGAGCTCCCCTTGGTTTTGTCTTTATGATGTGGGTCGCCCGTCTCTGTGTTTGTCTGTCGGTCTCTGCTCTTGTTTGTGTCTGTCAAAAGCTTTAAAAGTATGTGGGTGTGTGTGTGTGTGCGCGCGTACGCGCGTGGGTCTTTGTGAGCGCGTGCGTACATATGCTGTATACTACTGCATGTTTATGTTGACACGCTCTCTGCAGTCATGCCGCGTCACAAGAAGCCACGCTGCAACCATCTGCAACCCGACTCTGAAAATGCGTCCACTGCACCTCTGTCTGATTTCTCGCGAACTCGCGGAACAGGACTGCCACAATGCCATCCACCCACTCGCGTGACACCTGGCGGATGGGCTTTGACGTGCTCTCCTGAGGACCACGTGTCAGTTCCTCAACTTTGCAGAAGTTCTGACATCAGGGGAGGCTCTGAGGTCGGGAAGAGTTGCGGATGTTCGGTGGAGAGGTTCCTGTGAATAGAGTAGATCATGTTGGAGTTAAGAAGTGTGCACGATTTGCTTGGATATCTCGATTGAAATGCAAATCCTGGAACTGCAAACCGTGAAGTACGCTTTGACCGAACAGCAAAGGCCACTTTCGGGGTCGGAACGACTCTTGTGCACACAAATGTGCTCCTAGGTGAGTGTTTTCACTGTTCAACCAGAACCCCCCGCCCCCCCAGCAATGTGCCTCCTCGAAGCAACCATAGAGATCGCGGGCAGGAATGGACTTCGGATTGAGCCGGGCCTTTGCAAAGTTGGACTGCCAAGCCTACCTACAGACACTGTCAACAACAAGTGCTAGGTTCAGCCGTTTCATCCCGTTGCAGCTTATAGGCTTCGCTGAAAGAGCTGCGGCTGAGGGGTTATTAAGTGCTAGGGGATACGACTGGGGTTCGTGCTTGCCCTCCTCTTCAAGATTCACTGCTCAGGTAACAAAACCGTAGCCTCATAAGAAGAAAAGCTGAATCTGGCTAGCTAGCGGAATGTTTAGGTATCAGGTTCTAGCAGGGCGGGCAAGGCATATGCAGGAAAGCCATCACGGGCTACGTGGTTCTGCGACTAGTGCCTGAAAACGGTGAATGCTAAGACCTTTGCAAGCTTCAAAACTGAAACCCGCTTGCCTTCCCAATTGCCAGCAACAAACCCTCAAGATAACATACCTGCACAGCTAAACTGTAGAAGTCCGAGTGAACTGTTGTGAGCGTTTCGACATCAGGCCCTAGGGCCCTGTAAAGCCCGCATCTTCAAGATTGTTTAGAGAAATCCACTTCCAAAGTGTTTGCTTCGTTTGTTGAATCCGTGCTGCCCAGAACTCCGACTCGAGGATCTGATAACTACAAGTTCGAATAACAAGTTTGCAGGTTTACGGTTTAGGGTTCAGGGTCCAGGGTTTAGGGCCCAAACTTCGAGAACTAGTTAGACATTCTCGCAGACTTTGAGGAAACTGAGTCTGTCCTAACTACGAAAGCAAGGCATCGCAAAATATAGACTCTCTCTATATACATAATATAGTATACTTATATGTCATATCGCTGAAACTCAGAAGCAGAACCACCACGAACCACCACCACCCAGAGATTGTTAAACTGGCGGGGCGATGCCTGGTGCACGGCGCACCCAGCATGCATGAGGCCCTCCTGCATTCATCTCTCCGAATGACCGCGGTTTAGGGCTTAGGGTTTAGGGTTTAGGGATCTCTCCGAATGACTGGCACTCCGTGCATAAGCAGTAGAGCAGCAATCAGGGTTAGGGCAGTTCATGTGGCCAGATTGCTGCGCAGACTGACAACTCTGCTTGCAGCAGCTTGGGTCCGGCTAGATGTGGGTTGTGCTGGTGGCCAGCTACGAGCCTTGCAACGTAGTTTGTGGCTTGGAGCTTGTTCCATATTAATGCCTCACCGGTCCTGTGCCAACTGCGTCAGAGCCTTCTGCAGCGTGTTGAGCGCAGTCGTCTTGCCGCTGAAGGGCATCCCCACCAGCATCACGCTATGCCTGCATACAAGGGAGTCCAGAACTGGAAAGCTTCCAAGAATGAGGGGTACCCTTTTCGGGGGTCCTATATGGGGTATATAAGGGGGTACCCCTATGTTTGGAAATACCCAAATTTGGGTTTGGGGTGATCCGAAGATGCTTCAGCCATCTACGGGCTTAGGGCCCTTCGTTTCGAGGCGGTCTCCGGAGCGACTCTGGCCAATTTCGATCCAGCATCCTGGCCTATACACCTTACTACCTTAGTTGTCCAGTACCTAGGGGTTTTAAAGGTTAACCTTTGGGATTATAAGGGGAATATATTAACCCAAAAGGGTTAAAGGTTACCTACTCCACTACTAAGCTACACAGCAAACCACCATAAACCCTACGTGAAGTCCGACGTTGCAGACTCTTTCGGACGTACATATTATAAGCCGAACAAAGCAATCTCAGGCACTTCAGCAGAACATGCGCCTGACAAGGTGGCACTCGTAGAACTGGATAATCTTGTCGATGAAGTACGGATGGGCCTCCGTGGAATGAGGCGTGATCGCATTTCCACGACGCTTTTTTTGGGGGGGGGGGGGGGGGGGGGGGGGGGGGGGATCAGAGGGAAGGAGACCGGGATACGGACCCGTTTCCTGACCATCTGGAACGACAAACACGCGCGTGCGCGCGCGCGCCCATGCAAGTATACAATAAGTGCTGATTCGTGTTTCCACTTGCCGGCACTGTGCTTGCATTGCATGAACGCGGATTCACGATACTTCTCCAGGTGGTTAAGGGCAAGCAGAGCAATGCCGGCAGCAACTGTCAAGGTGTAGGGAAAGCATTTGAAAGTTAATTTTGCTGAAAGAACAAAGAACCATAGCCCTACCACCCCAAAAAGCTGGGCTCCTAACCAGGAGAAGCGCATGACGCTGCTCCAAACAAACCCTAAACCCTAAACCCTGAACCCCAAACTATATGCACCACGCTCTCCAGGCCAGACCTGGCAGTGCGTGCTGTCCAGGTTCTGAGTGAGTTTGCCGACCTTGCTTGCGTGAAGCCCTCAAAAAGCCTACTTGGTTTAGGGCTTAGGATTTAGGGTTTAGGGTTTAGGGTTTAGGATTTAGGGTTTAGGGTTAATTAAAACAGTACTTATAACCCACTTCTAAGCCCCCTAAGTGCCCTAACGGGGTTGTAAGCACAGTTACTCAAAAAGCCTAGGAGTCCTTATGAGGCACTAGAGCACGACAAGGGTACCAAGGTAGGCCCCTAAACCCTAAACCCAAAACCCAAAACCCTAAACCCTAAACCCTCAAAGCCATGTGGTGTGCTTGACTCGTCTCTTCAGCTCCGGCCCTTGAGGCTGCTAAAGCTTCATGGCCCTTCGCTTGGGCTCGGGCCATCATGGAGTAGTCAGGCTTCGGGAGATCCCTGACAAGCTGAGAAGAGGGTTTAGGGTTTAGGGTTTAGGGTTTAGGGTTTAGGGTTCAAGTCATGTCTGGGTTAAATCTGAATGAACTCAGGCATGCTTCAACCCAAAAGTCAAGACCCGAAAAAGGACGCACCAGTGCTCTGTGCCGAGAGCTACTGCAAGTGTCAGGTGCTCGGTTCCAAGAAAGCTAATTTAGGGTTCAGGGTTCAGGGTTTAGGGTTTAGGGTTTTCATCTGAAACCTGATTGGTGTCGCAGCGGCCGTTGGCCACAGCCCATAGAGCTCACACTTACGTGCATCATCGGAAGTGAGATCACCTTACGCTGCTTCTCAAAAACGAACGTTGTTGACCTATGTTGATCTGTTATGCGCCTGTCGCCGGCTCACTCTACCGAGTTTCAACCTTGAGCGAACTCCAAACACATGATTCGACCAGCACTGTGGGTCGGGCACGCCCGGGAACAGGTCTCGGGTGATGCCGTTGTAAAGTGGGACCTCAACACGACTCCAAAACTACTAATTGCTTAAGAACCCCCAAAAAACTATTCCGTATTAAGGGTAATATGGGGATTATTATTTATTATTCTTTTGGGGTTCTTAAACAAATAGTAGAAAACTCTTCCCCAAACTCCAACGCGGCCAAGGTCGCTGTTTTGTTCGGAGCCCAAGCCCTTCAACCGGAGACGTGATCAAGTACGAGTATGCCGGCACTGAAAGCGGGCAAGGGACAGCGCTAAACTCAGGTGACAGCTATTGTTGGGTGCGCGGTGCGCGCGCGCACCCACATTTTCTAGACAGGACTTCGAACGAAGGGATTCGGAAAAGGCTCTCCTGCCTTCAAGCTATGGCGGCTATGGTACGTCATGGCAAATCCAAAAATCTCCAACAAAGTTCCCCCCCCCCCCTACCACCTAACAAGGGCATACACGGGGCCAACCACTCCATTCTGCAGGCTATGCGTGAATCAGCACTTTACCGACCTGTGGTTGCGGAGCTAGTGCGGGAAGATAAACCACCATTATTCAGCCAACTGTACTGCTGCACGAAAAGGCTTTCAGGGCGGCACTCTGAACATGTCCACAGCCAGATGCCAAGCTTGGCAAGGAGACTCGGGCTTTCATCATGACACAGGACGGTCGAACAGGCTTCACACTTACATGGTTAAACCCTAAACCCTAAACCCTAAACCCTAAACCCAGGGGTGGGTTCCTAATCCTGCATGTCAGGGCGCATCGAAGTCCAGGAACTTGGCAAGGTTGACGTCGTTGACAGACTGTAACATAAGCACACTCCTGGTCAGGACGTCGCAGGGCAGAGGGTGGGGTTAAGGGCGGGAGTAGGCATTTGGGTTCGAACTAAGTCGAAAACCCCAAAGCTACCATCTATACTCCCCTTATGACAAAAATCATATGTTTAATACCCTCTTGGGTTTTATATAAACGAAAATTTAAAAACAAAAACTCCCCAAGGGGGATGTGGCCATGAAACAAAGTGTCTAGGAGCAATTCATGTTAGCGAAGACGGCGTGCCCACTTTGTTCGTGAGTTGCTGAACCAGGGCTTCGGGGAAACAGGCCCAGCCATGAAGAACTTATTTAGGGTTTGGGGTTAGGGTTTAGGGTTTAGGGATTGGGGTTTAGGGTTGCGGGTTTAGGGTTTAGGATTTAGCGCTAGGGTTTAGGGTTTAGAGGCAAGATGCGCAAGATGCAAACACACCACTAAATAGGTTTGAGTCCCAAGTCCCAAGACGCAACTTGCTCAGGCTGCCCAAAAGCAGGGACTTTAACGTCGCGCAAACCGCCCAGTCGCCCAAACCCTAAACCCTAATGTTGACTTCACATTAGTGGATCCACCCGCAATTGTAAAATCCCGCTGCCGGAACACAATAGTGTAGCCCGCCACAATTGTAAAATCCGACCCGGGAAATCCGGTTTTTACGGGCGTGGTGCTACTACCTAATACTAAATCTAATAGTACGTCCTACCAGGATTTAGGCGAACAGTATTGAGGAGGCCCTGGCCGGAGAGATTGATCAATGAAGGGGGGGGGGGTTATTAATGCGAAGTCAACATTAAACCCTAAACCCTAAACCCTAAACCCTAAACCCTACAACCAACGCTTTTGGAAGGGATTGTGCGCGACATGGGCTTGGATCGCAACTCCATCACCACGATCTGAAAATCGTGACATCGAATTCCTGTAGCTATGTACCGATCCTGAACCTTGATCCTGTAAACCCTAAACCCTAAACCCTAAACCCTAAACCCAAAACCCTAAACCGCCTCTCCAGGAGGCCTTTGAAATTCTTACCTCCTGGGGCCCGGGCTCGTTGGTCTGCCCCGGATTATTCCGCTTCAGCCTTGGCCGGGGCAGCAGAGAAGCTTCTCTAAAACCAGTCTCGGGACCTTCTAAAGGTTTTGAGCTCCAGGGAAAGCCACAAAAATTGACAAAAAATGAAATCCCAGTTGAGAGAGTTTCAGGGTTTTAGTGACGCAGAAACTGGACACTTCAACAGGGCTCAACTTTCGCTGATACGCACCCACAGGTCAGAGCCCCCTAAACCCTAAACCCTAAACCCTAAACCTTAAACCCTAAACCCTAAAGCAGGTTTTCGGTTCCCCCAAGGCAGTTTGGCGCCTTCTGAGTCGCCGACCTACCGGCCTGGACCAGCACAGCGAAAACGGCGCGCATCCCGTAGTCGTAGTGCCTAGGTTGCAAGTCCCTGGTTTAGGGTTTAGGGTTTAGGGTTTAGGGTTTAGGGTTTAGGGTTTCAAATAATACCTACCCTGGAGTCTAAAGTCTGCAAATAGAACCGACTTTGGGCTGTTTGGAGCCTTAGGGAGTTGCAGGTGCTTTGATAAGGCTTCTGCGGCAAAAAAAAAAGACACGGACTTTCCAGCTGGGGATGCTGTGCATGCACCATACCCTGCACTGGGTTAAGGGTTTCCCGCCAGCCCTGCAGACTAAACCCTAAACCCTAAACCCTAAACCCTAAACCCTAGACCCTAGACCCTAGACCCTAAACCCTAAGCACCCTCGAAGCTCCGAACATCCGACAGCTCTAGTCAGAACTCCAAGCAGAAGCTGTGCCCAGGGCTTCTGTGACGAGAGCTGCTCAGAGCAAAGCTTGTAGGTGGTGACCTGGGGTTTAGGGTTTAGGGTTTGGGGTTTATTGTTTAGGGCACTGTGGTGCTAGGCTCGGGAATTCTTTCGAGGTTCAACATTAGCTGCTCTTTGCATGGTCTTGTCTTGAAACATAAAGAAGCTCACCATGAAGTCGGCGGCTAGCACCCCATCAACTTGTTTTTTTAGGGGTTTGGGGATGCCATAGTTCCACAGGGAACTTCGCGATGTTGCAGAGTTGGTTGAGAGGGGCCAGACGGCGGCGGAAGGCGGGCAGGGGGGCTTAGTTCTGAAGACCAGCGTGAGCAAAGCTCGAGGGCTCTGAGGCGGCGGCAATCTTCTGCGCCAAAGATCGCGAGTCCTGCGGCAGCAGCCCTTCAGTCATTCTGTCAGGGCAACACATGTTCAGGAAAGCCTCTGAAACTTCAGTAAGCAGGGTCACGCACTGATGACAGTTGACCCGCCTCGTACCCATAGGAATAGAGCTTGATCTCCGCGATCATCGCGTAATCAGGGACCTGAGTGATGTCTGTGAATCAAAAGGCTCCCTTAGAAGCTCAAGAGCTCAACTGCTGCCAAACAAACAAGTACAGCAGTAAGACACCCGATGCTCAGACACTCAAAACCCATTCGTTTGTTTCTAAATCAGGTGGCAGGAGAACGGCCTCGATGTCTACGTCTAAGAAGGGTCGGTTGTCTCAAGTGAAGCAGAGCTAGATGCCCAAACTCTGACACTAACACCTCATCAAGCAGGGTCTTTGTGAAGCCGTTAGATGCACCAGTGACGTGTCAGGAAGTTGTCTTTTCTTTGGATGCGAATGAGTGTCAGCGTCTGCCGCATGGGAACCGCTTCCCCCCCCCCCCCCCCCCCACGCACGTCGCAAATCGTAAACGGAGCGGCGTTTCTGTTTCTGTCAGAGCTGCGAAACTCGAGCATGGGTCTTGCGAGTCCAGGTGTTTGGGTAGCATCGAGCAGGTACCCCAGCTCTCATCCACGGAGCGCACCCCCGAAATTGGCACCCCGCTGGGCGACACGTGTCGGGGCGCGGACGGCGCATCAGGACCAGGGGCACCGCCCCCCGCACCTCCCTCCCCCCCCCCACCCGTCTCCATCTGAAACCCCCTTCCCCCAGTCCAATGCCCAACCTAACCCGAACCCTAAACCCTGAACCCTGAACCCTGAACCCTAAACCCTTCTTTCCGGAATGCGACATGGCTTCCTGCCTCTCCCAACCCCCTCACCCCTGCCGGCACTATGCCATGGCACTAAAGGTGCCGGGTCGGCTAAGGGTGCCAGTTGCACGTTCACAATGTCTCTAGGACTCTAGGACTTGGGGTTGGGTACGGGTTGCAAATTAAATTTTGGAGCGGGGGTAAGCTTTCAGTCCCCAGGCATGATGAGTGCCCAAAGTTAACTCGAATACCGTTTGGTGACCGACTGGCCTGAAACGAGACTGCATGAAATCAGCAGGTAAGCACGACCCCGCATTACTGCTCACAAATCGGGCTTGGCACGAACCTCGACAACGAGGGAGGGGTCAGGTTGCAGGTGACAGCCCATACTCGGAAACGTGGAAACATGATGAGGCTTCGTACCATCATCGCCACGGTCCGGAAGAGGGCCTGGACTTTCGTGTTCCCACCCCGGACAGGGATTGATAGTGGGATCTCCGGATGGACTAAAGCAGCTGAGGGCTTGCGTTGTGTGAGTCCGAAGGCAAGTCCGTTCAGAAACTTTGTGTCGATCCCAACCACAAAAGCGAACTGCCCTGTAATTACATCCCCGAACATTTTGCCCCCGCACATGCTTCGTTTCAAACTCGGGCCTATCCCTAAACCCGTGCTCCTCAATGAGACACAACATAGCAATCTAGCCACGTGCCTTCAAATTGTCAGGCAATTCTGCTCGGCCCGCATAGCCCGGATTCATAGTGATGAAACCTGGGCTTAGGCCGGCGTAAGCTTCGATGCAGTCTCTTTGCTCGGATGCTCCCGTTTTGCCCAAAGGACCATGCGATTTGGCTTCCGTCCGTAAACCCCAAACCCCAAACCCGAAACCCGAAACCCCAAACCCCAAACCCTAAACCCCAAACCCTAAACCAAGCCAGCGCAAGCTTGCAGGTTGCCTGCCTTTGCTAAAGTAGCGCTGGCACAGACTGACAGGAGACTTGCCCTGCGTGCACAGGCAATCGCCCTAAGATGAAACCCTCCACCCCTAACATTAAACATATTCTAATATAAGTATAAGGGGGGGTATTTGATATAGGGGGTAGGGCCCGGGTAGGGGGTATTTCATATTAGGGGGTGGGGGGGGGGGGGGGTTAATATTAGGGGGAAGGTGATTAGTTGCCAATTCTCAGGGCTGGCCACCTGAGCCCTCCCTCTGAGCCCTCTTGCCCTTCAAGCAGCGGAAGACTCTGCTGAAACCACCATGTGCGAACCCTAAACCCTAAAACCCTAAAACCCTAATACCCTAAAACCCTAAAACCCTAAAACCCGAAAACCCTAAAACCCTAAAAATCTAGAACCCTAAACCCTAAACCCTAAACCCTAAACCCTAAACCCTAAACCCTAAACCCTAAACCCTAAACCCTAAACCCTAAACCCTAAACCAAGTCAGGATGTCATGTCTTGCTCTGAGCAGTGGCAAGAGAGCGGTATGCTTCGATTTTTGGCTACCACGATTTCAGGGCGTGATATCGGCCGAAAGGTCGCCAACCATGCAAATTCTATCAGTTGTGCGAGTTGGAGCAAGACTGGATTGACGGCTACCTGCATCAGGCAAGACTCTACATCTCAAAACCTCGGACCCTTTAAATCCGAAAAGATCAGGGGCTAAACTGCTCAACGCTAACCCTAAACCCTAAACCCCAAACCTTTAAACCCTAAACCCTAAGCCCTCAACCCTAAACCCTAAACCCTTAACCGAGCCCCAAGCTGCCCAAAATCTCCCAACCCAGGCCCTGGCAATTGCACGTCCAGATAATTGGCAGCTCCGTCCCCTCGAACTCGAAATGTGTCTTCTTCTCCTCTCGGCACATGTAGGGCTTAGGGTTTAGGGATTGGGGCTTAGGGTTGGGGGTTTAGGGTGATCTTGGCAGCTGCTTGGGGTGTAGTCTTGGGGCTCGTTGAGGGCTCTGTTGATGCTTGCTGTTCTCACTGCTACCGCGACAACTCCCTGCGGCCAACGCCTGTCACACATGCAGGTCGCAAAGCAAAGCCATTTCACCAATGTTGCCATGGGGGGCACTCTGTACGGATTGAGGGTGCATCTTCCTCCACTCTGCTCGTTCTCACGTCTAGCAGAACCAGCTAGACAGCAACCTTGCGTGTCATGAAGGTGTAGCGTCCAACTTGCTTAGATGTGAGGTTGCAGGGCTACAAGGAATTGAGCCGTTGCACTCGCGCATGCGAGCATTCCAGAATCTTGGCACGGCTTCGGGTTTTTGTGCCGAACAAGCCTACCCTTTGCATAACCCTAAACCCCAAAACCTAAACCCTAAACCCTAAACCTCGAGGGCTCCCGGATGGCATTCTGAATGCACAGGATCTGCTGCGCGATGACGCTGAGCACCTTCCGCGGCAGAAGGGCTTCAAAACGGCAAAGATTAGGGCTACAGCGTCAAGTCTGGAAGAACAGCTTTCCCAATGAGCTCCGAAAAAAAGGATCCCTTTCGGGAAAAACGATGAGTGTGTACTTAGCATGTTGTGCTATAAGGGATGTAGACTTGTGTAGATGCAAAGACCCCTATACCTTGGGTTCGGCCGGTCCACACTAACAGTCACCACCAGACCCACAAATAAAAGCACCCGGTAAATGCCAAAAAACTGACTGAGATTCCTGCTATTCCTGGTGCTATTCCTGGTGCTATTTCTGGTGCTATTTCTGGTGCATTTTTTTGTGCTATTCCTGGTGCTATTTCTGGTGCTATTTTTTGTGCTATTGTTTGTGCTATTTCTGGTGCTATTTTTTGTGCTATTGTTTGTGCTATTTCTGGTGCTATTTCTGGTGCTGTTGCTGGTGCTATGTGACTAACAATCACCATCAGCAGACCCACAAAAAACAGCACCCGGTAAATGCTAAGCTGCTAAAATTGACTGGGATTCCTGGTGCTATTTCTGGTGCTATTGTTTGTGCTATTTCTGGTGCTATTTTTTGTGCTATTCCTGGCGCTATTTCTGGTGCTATTTTTTGTGCTATTGTTTGTGCTATTTCTGGTGCTATTTCTGCTGCTATGTGACTAACAGTCACCACCAGCAGACCCACAAAAAGAAGCACCCGGTAAATGCTAAAATTGACTGGGATTCCTGGTGCTATTTTTGGCCTGTGTGTTATAAGGCCACGGCGTTTTTTGACTGTTAGTGTGGACCGGCCGAACCCAACCTATACCCGAAATCCGCAACCTGTGTCATACAAAACACAAGGTGTTGCAATCGGAAGGCGCGTCGCAAAACCCCTAAACCCTTCGGTGAAGGTATCTAGAGTCCACAAGTCTCAAGGCATCCCTTGTTTGAGAAACTCCTCATTATTTTTCATAGCGACCTTGACAACTGGAGTGAAGTGATAAAATCAGCATGACATGCTTCCTCTTCGACATCTGACCTACCTGCGAATGCCATCCAAGAAACTCCCGTGCCCTGGCCGAAATTTTCAGGGTGATCCAAACACAGGTTAACCGTGGCTTCCTGACGGCAAAAAACCTCCGCCGGCTCAATCGGTCCGATATCTGAAAAGCAGAGGCTTGAACAGCTCTCCAACTCATCCCAAATTGTCAGGAAAGCCCCCCATGCATTTTTTCGATCCCCTTACTTAAGAACCAGAAGACCCCGGGGGGCTTAGCCACCCTCCCCCGCCTCTGCATCGATTCGGTTAAACTCATCGAAGCACGCCCATCCGCCGGACGCTGCCAGGCCTTTCACCGAGGTCTGAGGTTGGATTTGAAGCGTGGGACACTTTAAGTTGGCTTGGGCAGAGGATGGCAGAAAATGATCGGCTTCTTGCTGTGAAGACAGCCTAGCTTAAGTTTAGCTTGATTCTTACTTTGTTGAGCACGCATACGCATGCGGCCTGCGCGTTGAAGCCTTGAGCTTGTTCGCGTTGCGGCGGTTCTGCACTATAGATGGCGACGGAGGCTACTGCTTTGGGAGACCCGCACCCTGGTGGGGCCTTTGAAGAACTTGGCCATCGCGAGGTAGTCCAGCTCATCGGAGCAGTTGAATACCACGCAAAAGCGGGCAAGGGCCTCGAGAGCAAACACCGGAAGGTTCACGCTTTAGGGCCTTCGGGGCTTCAGCTTGGGGACTGTAGGGTGGGCTTAAGTTCGGGGGCTGGAGTTTCAGGTCCGTTCTCTTAGCATGAACTGGAACCGACTGAAAGTCAGACGACAGTCGGGATGGGGGCCCAAGGGGTTGTCTGAGGTGCATGGTGCAACCCAAAAACACCATGAAGCGTCATGACGCGCTCAGCCGATCTACTTCATCAGGTAGAGGGCGTGAGCATGCGTGGATTGAGAGCCGTGGCAACAAAAAACGAAACACAGGTGCAGCACATGCGTGAACAGCCACCCTAAACCCTAAACCCTAAACCCTAAACCCGAAACCCTAAACCCTAAACCCTGATGGCCCCCCCAGGGGCCTTCGCAAGATCCTTGACAGTTTCAGTCTTGCCCGTGCCGGCTGGGCCCTGCCATGCTCTCAGGTGGCAATTTTAAAGCTTCAGGGGGAAGAGTTGCCCCCACAAACTTATACCTCCTAGGGTTTAGGGTTTAGGGTTTAGGGTTTAGGGTTTAGGGTTTAGGGTTTAGGGTTTAGGGTTGAGCCTCCTAAGTTGACTCCTAAGCCCATGCAGCCCTACTACAGCCTAGAGTGCCTACAGAGCATTTCGGGAATTTTGGGGGGGATTTCGGAGTTGCGGAGCTGGAGCAGGCTAAAGGATCTCTCGGGCTTATACATTGGGCCAGGTTGGAGGTACAGTTTGCAACTGGACGTCTGGCAACCCACTTCTGAAATTGCCAGCTCAAGCTACCCTAAACCCTAAACCCTAAACCCTAAACCCTAAACCCTAAACCCTAAACCCTAAACCCTAAACCCTAACCCTAAACCCTAAACCTCAAGCTGGCTCAAGGTGCCCTCCTTTAGGCCCTTTAGGCGCTCCTCGGGAGCGGCACCGTAGAGAAGGTGAAGGGCCCCGCAGCCTCAGCTTGATATTTCTAATCGGCGATTTTGGAGGATGAGGCTTCTTCGATCCTAGCTGTGCTCGAGCATGACGAAAGGACTTCTCTCAGAGTGAACTCAGCTATGCCCAAGGTCGCTGCTGCGGGCGAGCACTACAGCTACCAAGTAACCGTGACTATCCTGCACGTCTGAGTCTAGTAAAACCATGGCAGGTCTGCCTCAGTCCTCCCGTCATGGTGCTTTCTGCTTTCGGGGTTCAGGGGTTTTCATTTGTGCGACCTGTCGGTGAACGTCTAGCAGTCTGGCATGAAGAACGAGCGGCCCCGGTGCACAATCACGGCAGACTCAGGGGTCGAGGGAACAGCTAGGGTCAGCTAGAGCGAGACAGGTTTTCATGTAGATCCCAAAGAGCCCAATACCCCTTAATTAAGGAATATAGCTTAAGTTATAAAGGGATCCTGAATATAACTTAAGCTATATTCCTTAACTAAGGGGTATTGGGCTCCCTGGGATCCTCCCTGAGGCACGAGCATGTTCGATAGCATCGGTCCTGGCCACGACATCAGTGCAACCCAGGGCACCCAAAGACCATCACGGTCAAAGACCCGCCATTCGAAACAAAACCCATGAGCCCCCGAACCCTGAACCCAAACCCCAAACCCCAAACCCCAAACCCCAAACCCTAAACCCTAAACCCTAAGCCCTAAGAGAAAACTCCCGAGACTTACCGCTTCGCACCATGTCGCATCCCTTCAAGCTGTCAACTGCGACGTGTAGCATCTGCTAGCTGGGACTGCACTAGGCCACTAATCGACGCTTCTTCTCCTGAATTCGAGTCCATCACCACTCCTCTAAGGCTAAACTTCGCCAACATCACTGTTGGCGTGCACATCTGGGTCATGAAAGCGACTTCCCACAGCCCGAGTCCGTCAGCGGTGTCACGATGAGGCGCGAGGAGTTGCCCAAGTACTCGTAGGCGTACCCAAGGTGGCTGTTTGTGATGCGCACGAACCTGGCACACGTCATGACCGCTTTGCCCTGACACCCCCGAGTTCTCGAATGGCTGAGTCGGCGGCAGGTCCTGTTGTTCCGGTTTCTCTGGGTTGTCCTGGCAGTTGAGTTGAAGGCCTCTTCCCTGAATGGAGTCTCTAGGAACTGGCTTCCAATGCATCTTTCACGGCCAACGGACTTCAAAGCTGCGGGGCAGCCCACGCCCCCGCGCATCTCATTGTGTTTATTGCTACCAGGCTCAGGCTGATAAGCTGAGGCTTGCCATGTAAAAAAGACACAAAGCATCATTGCGCGATGCCAAATGGTTTGCCGCTTGAACTCCTTGAGTCAGTATACTGCCATGATGCGCCAGGTTCCGTATGGTATGTTGGAGAGGCAGCTCGGCCCACCGACTGTGTTTGGGACATTGGAGACCTGGCGCCTTTGTGAATTTTGTGCGCGGCAACTCAACTCATGCCTGCACGATGGCTTCGAGTTTTTGCAGGGATGCCGATGCCTACTTCTGGCAAGCGCAACGTGAACCGGAACCTTTTGCCAATACCGGCGTCGTATGATGCAGTGCATTGAGTAGTGCAAGCGGGCTGGCACCAAAACATGATGTGCGAAAGTTCTGTGGTAGTGGTACTTCCAGCCCACAAAGTAGCTCCTCGATGTAGTATCTCAACTGCACCAGCCAGTCGAAGTCATCCACCTACTTCAACATGCAAATGGACTCAGCAAAGGTCCTGTGCTGCCCAGGTTTGGGGCCAAGTAGAGATAAGTGCAGGTGGGCTGTGTTGTGCAGAGGCCAGCGATGGGTTGAGGCTCAGGGGTGTAGAGCTTATTCCGAGTTTAGCGTGCAGGCTTCAAGGGTCGAGGGTCTGGCGGAGCCCCCTGACATGCCACGTGCGCACGCGTTGATGATAAGAGAAAGGCTCAAAAGGTCTGCTGGCTTAGGGTTTAGGAGCGCGTGCCCTCGAATACTCACACTTGCTCTTGAACTTTCCAAACTCTCCTTGGCTCGTAGCTACCACTACTTGTGAGGGTGGCGCAGGCTCGCAACTCGGCTCTAGTTAGGGTTTAGGGGTGAGGGTTTAGGGCTTAGGGTTTAGGGTTTAGGGCTTAGGGTTTAGGGCTGGGATCCTTCTAATGCTGGGATCCTGTCCAGCTTCTGCCGACTGCATTTTAGAGCCTTTGGGCGCAATCGACTGCTTGCAAGAAGGTGTCAACACAAACACAAAGGAAACCTTTGACACATGACATAGTTCAAGCGGTCTCTGCCTATGCTGCACCCCAAAACGCCATGAATGTTGCCCAATACTTCGCAGTTCCCCGCCCACACGCCTGCCCCGAACTAAAGCACCGACGCCGCTGTAGCAATCTGCAATCAAGGCACCATGCTGGTTCCCATCTTGCAAAGCTCCTCAACCGTGTCCTGGCTTGGTGGAGGATTCCGCGCCCCAAGGATCCTCTAATGGATACTCTGAACCCCCAATGGTTGGGCTAGGCATAGGCAGGTGAGAAGCCCACTGTGAAATCCATCGGAGCGAGACGGCAATTATGATTTGACCAATGCTCTAGCTAGTTCGACACGATCGCCAAAATGGCAGAAATCCGCTGCAGAGTCTATGCCCTACCTTGAATCCTGTGTGTACCGTATGCCTCCCTTCCTTGTTGTGCACGAAGATCACAATGAGGGCTTCCAGAGTGCATCGCGTCAGCGCCGGGATGTCATTCCGCACCAAATCCTTGGGCTCATAGCTTCACTCTGACGCCGCACATGCTTCAAGAATTGCATGGGCTATTATACCCTATAACCCCTCAAAAAGGCCCTTTATGGGGTTGGCTAGGGGGAATATAAGGCCTAATAGCCCATGCTGGCAAAGCCTTAACTAGAACTTGGTTCCAGCCGTGCTTTAGCTTGAAGCGGCCCGGGCTCCTTAGGGTTTAGGGTTTAGGGTTGAGGGTTGAGGGTTGAGGGTTTAGGGTTTACGGTTTAGGGTTTATGTAGGGTTGAATTAGGGTTTAGGGTTTAGGGTTTAGGGCTGCAGGCGACAAATCATCAGTTGAATGGGTACCTCGTACTAGAGAGGCTGAGGAGGCGTGCATGAAAACTTGGACTGGCAAAGAATTGCAATCCCTTTGCTTGGGGTTCCGGATTTGGGGCTTGAGCTTGGGGACCTAAAATTGTAAAGTGGGGTGTCTCAAGACTACCACAAGACAGCATATGGTGCCTATACTCACGGCGCTGCAGTTTTCTGCGCTTCGCGCACAGCTGATTGGGACATCACCAAAATCAGCACTATTTCCAACTTTGGGAGCTTGTGGCCAGAACTCTTAAAACCCAAGCCGGACCTCAACCGAAAAGATGGGACGGAAACGCGCACAGCATATAGCTGCTAGTACGAAATATAAGCAACTGTGTACTGGAGATTGCAAGATCTTGGCCAACACGTCAGCCCTGGTTTCAGCTTTAAGGTTTAGGGTTTAGGGCTTAGGGTTCTCTGGGCGCAAGGCGATGATTTCACCCAGTGTGCCCTTCAGCTTCTCCGCCACTTGAAGGATCTCAGTCACAAGCTGCTTCGACCCTCAACACGAAGCCCCAAACGGGAGGCAATGGCAAAAAGGAGCTGGGGTTTAGGGTTTAGGGTTCAGGGTTTAGGGTTTAGGGTTTACCGGAAGACCCTTCTGAGAGCAGGCGATCCTGTGAGCCTTTGAGGCCAAACGGAGCTTACCATTCGGGTCTACGGGGGTTTCCGAAAACAGGGGGTACCTGTTGGGGGGTCCCTTTAATTGAAGGATTCCATACTATTTGGGTTTCGAAAGGGGTACCCCTTATTTTGGGAAATGCTCAATCCCTAAACCCTAAACCCTAAACCCTAAACCCTAAACCCTAAACCCTAAACCCTAAATCAACATCTGGCAGAGACCAGAGAGTAGCCTTCGAAGTATCTGGGGCGGCTGCTCCATCGTTGCCATGCTCCCTGAGTCCATCCTCCACCTTCATCGGGTTTAGGGTTTAGGGTTTAGGGTTTAGGGTTTAGGGTTTAGGGTTTAGGGTTTAGGGTTTAGGGTTTTCCGACATTCGGGGTACGGGCACCTTGTTGGCTTATTTGGGTCCCTATCATAAGGGGATCCTACTATTTGGGGATCTGTATTGGGGGTTTTGTAGTTTCGCAAATCCCCATGTCACTTTCCAGAGGTTCGGGCGTCGTTCCCAGGAAGAAGCCTTATGATGGGGTTCTCGGAATGGACACAAATTTGGCAGCATTCCACTTCTGCAGCCATGCCAAAGTATGAGCTGTTTGGGATTAGAAATCGAACGCGACCAACAGATACTGATGGAAAGTGAGTTGTTGCACTGACCGTACTGATGCAGGCACTCACCTCCGTTTCGCAATTAAGAGTGATCAAGAAAACACAACCCTAGACCCTAAGCCCTAAACCCAAAACCCGAGTCCAAAATCCCAGGCTGGAGCCACTCCCGAGTCCCAGCCCACCTCACGGGTCCAGAAGAGGGAAAAGATGGCGATCACGGCCTCTGTGGGGAGGCTTTGCAGAAATACCGGGGTTGAAGGAATCCTTTAGCTCTAGGCTGGTCCCTCCGTGCTTCAGTGGAGGTGGAGGCTTCTGGGCGAGTTGGCCCCTTGTAAGCCCAATTACGAAGCCTGAGTTTAAGCCTGGACAACCCTAAACCCTAAACCCTAAACCCTAAACCCTAAACCCTAAATTCCACCCAACCAAAGTCCACAACGGCTCTGCACTGGCTTGCCTGTCCGGGCCAGTTCCGGAGCCAGTCTGTAAACTTTCGCTCCAGGTAGTCCTCGTCGGGGCTTCCGGGGCCCGGTATTGAGGGTTGAGAGCTGCGGAAGGAAATGTGCTGAACACCCACCACAACCTCGACAATGAAAGGCCGTACCTAAGTCGTAGAAGAATGGATCCCCTACGTTTGGTTTTTGGCAATACCCAAGCTCATTGACCTGAAATGCACCTCACACGCCCTCACACACAAAACTGCTTCTAATTTCTGACTCCCAACCATCATGCTGATTCCGACACCCCGATGTGGGAGACTGCCTTCTCCGAAGAAAGGCACACGTGCCGAATGGTCTGCAGCATCGCAGCCTGCAAAATTCTCAAACCTATGGGCTGCTATAACTAGCAATATCTGGGTGAAGGCCATTTCAGAGCTATGAGCTAAAACCCAAAACCCTCAACCCTAAACCCTAGACCTCAACACTAAAGATCAGGAAAAGACGCCACGACCGGAGGTGCACTGCGAACGTCAACGTGGGCTCTCACCGCCGCCGCCCTCCTCTCCGAACTAAGCGTTTCCTAAAATAGGGGTACCATAGGCTACCACTTGCTTAAGAAACCCCCCGCAAAAAAAATAATAAAAACACATTCTTCCTTATAAGGGTAGTCTAGGGATTATTATTTAATTTTTTGAGGGATTCTTAAGCAAATAGTACCACATTGGGGTCCGTATTAGAAGGGAAGCCTACTATTTGAAGGATCTACATCGGGTCCCCTATTTTAGTAAAACCCCCCCCCCCCCAAAAAAAAAAAAAAAAAAACAAAAGAACGCCTCCATCTGGACGAGCCAGAGCTCCACGTTGCCACGAGCAGCATGAGGATCGACAGACTCCACCAACTGGGAATAACTGGTTAGGGTTTAGGGTTTAGGGTTTAGGGTTTAGGGTTTAGGGTTTAGGGTTTAGGGTTTAGGGTTTAGGGTTTAGGGTTTAGGGTTTAGGGTTTGGCAAGTTGCAAGTATTTTTGCCGGGGCTTCAGAGTACTTCGATACCCGCTGTTGTGCCTTTTGAGTCGAGGGTCATGGGCAAGATGATAGCGCAGAATGACCCCGTGATGCGAAGAACATGGCCCATTTTAAATCTGACTGACCCCTGGAGCCATCCAGCCATCTAGGAGCAACTGAGGACACTTCTCTTACAAAGCAAATGCCCAACGCTTTGAATCAGAAGACAGTACATCTACGAGCAACTGATGACACTTCTCTTATAAAGCCGATGCCCAACGCTTTGTCTTTCCATATCAGAAGACATACTTACTATACTCCCCTTAGAACCTGAATAAAAATAGTATTTTAATTTCCTCTTGCGTTTTATATAAACAAAAATAAACTATAATTCCCAAGGGGAATATAGCTTGCTTCGTTGATGCTCGTGTCCAAGCTGCTCAGGGTTCCAGCCTCTCAGCTACCCTCTTGCGGACGATTCGAGTGTAGGGGTTAGGACTGTACGAGGTGGTTCAAACAGGAAGCACTTTAAAATGGGGTTTCCAGCCAGAATCTCCCTAAACCCTAAACCCTAAACTCTAAACATTCGCAAGCCGAGGTCCTAACTGGAACCGACTCCTTCTCGGAAGACATCATGGCGGTGATGCGCTGATCTGCCTGGAACCACACTGCTTGCTGTCTAGCCACCCTGTCGAGCTGCGCGTCTTCAACAGTACGTGCGAACCCCTAAACTCTAAACCCTAAACCCTAAACCCTAAACCCTAAATCAGGTTACGACAACCACTGAGAGTGCAGCTTCGAGGTGACTAGCTCGAAGGCTTTCAAAATCTGGACATCCAGTTTGGGGGAGAAGGTCGAGGACCAAGGCAGGGGGCCCTGGGCTGCCTACGAGAAAGATCTCCTCCTTCTCATCCTTCACTCATCCATCCTTCCCTACCCTAACCCTAAACCCTAAACCCTAACAACTCTAAACCCTAAACCCGACCCTAAACCCTAAACTCTAAACCCTTGCAGGCTCGGCCCCAGGAGGGGTTGTCAAGAGGCGCCAGTTAGGTCTCGTGTACATGTCCGTGTTTTGCTAGAAAATGTCAATGTCATCGGGTACCGGCGTTACCAATCGGGATTCGCTTTCTGTGGGTCGCCGGTTTGCACGCGTGGGTTGCCTTTGGCTATCAGGAGCGTCCGCTTGGGGTGAGCTGCCTTTTGCCCACGTGGGCTGCCTTAGGGCCTTAGGGCGGGCACCCAGTAACCTTTCTCTATCCACCTTCGGCCCTCGGCCCGTAGCATATTCTCGCATGCTCTATTTTCCCGGTAGCGCAATGTACCTTAAGCACAGGAGTCTCAACTACAACACGCTCAGACCCTCGCACAAGCAATGGCCAACTTAGTTTGGAAGAGACAAGGTGACGCAAACGATTTCTTCAGAAGCCCTGCAGCAGCAGCAGGCAGTAGATACATAAAGAACTGAGATTGTGAGCCCAGGTCACATACAATAGAGCTGCAACGTGACGCCCTCATGAGAGGTCTTTCACCTATGCGAGACGGCTGATGTCAGGCACCGAGTAGCAAGACTCTCACCCTCCTAAACCGCAACTTCTATCACCGCGGGTCACCCGAGCTCCCGGCGGACTGAAACTCCAGACTCTGGATTCCCTCGAACGCCTGGCCATGGAGTTGTTCGGGGATTGGCGGGGCAGTTGGCAGAAGGCGTAGCTTAGTGAAGCTGTTGGTGTTCTCCTTTTCGGGGGCGGTTCAGTTCAAGGGCTTTCTGGGCCGTTCCATGTCTACCATCTATTCAAAAAAGCCGTCTCGTCTTACGAGTCCAACACTTGTACTTTGAGGACGCATGGACTTGCGGGGGGCCGTTGAGGGTCGTGGCGAGGGTCGTGGTTGGAGTTTGATTTGACCGGAAAATTCCAAAGGGCGACCCGGGTACCCGGCCGCGCCTTCTTCATGTGCGGATTCACTCGTGTGGGATCTTTTGTCTCCTTAGGGCAGCTTCCCATGGAAGACTCACTCCATGCTTCAAAGCCCGAGCAAACTTGAAATTTCATCTGGACATGTAGTGCTGAAAAGCGCTTGGGCTTGAAAGCTGCGCGGGCGAGGCGGTGCGGCGCCAGCAGCCCGCAAGATTGTTTAAGGCAGGCTTGCAACGAGTCATCCGCAGCACGAAGGACTGCGAACTGAGGCGCCCTGAAGCTATACTCTCCTTAGAACCTTAATACAAATAGTAAAATAATATGTTTCATATCCTCTTGGGTTTTATATGAACAAAGATATAAAATACGTCCCAAGGGTGATATAGGAAGAACCCAGAGCACTGGAAAGCACGTCTGTGGGGGCTTGAGGGGCTCGCACCCCTCAGTAGCCGAACGGGGAAGACCACAGCCAGAATATTGTAGCCAAGTAACAACGGGAACATGACGCAGATCTTTGTTTATATAAACATAATTACATATGTATATATATATATATACATATACACACACAGCCACACACGCACACACGCACACGCAGACATGCAGACACGCAGACACGCAGACATGCACACAGACATGGCCCAGCCCAGCTTGCCACCACTTTGGCTCAGATACTTCGGAGGCCCGCCTTTGGCCTTGATGCTCCAGGCTCAAGCTAAGACTGGCACTGACAAGATCTCCAGCAAGTTGTCGTTGGACCTCACTTCTTCGAACTTGGAACCTACAAAGAAAAGCTGGGTCTTAAACCCTAAAGCCTCAAGCCTAAAGCCTAAAGCCTAAAGCCTAAACCCTAAACCCTAAACCCTAAACCCTAAACCCTAAACCCTCACAAGAGAACCTGAAGCTTGCTGTGCGCAAAAGCATGGGGACACTGCAACGACTTACAATGGGACATGGGGGGGTGACCGAAGGCCATCCTTCACTGAACATCCAACAAACCGAAACCCTAAACCCTAAACCCTAAACCCTAAACCCTAAACCCTAAACCCTAAACCTTCGCAAGAGCAGCTCAGGACCCAAGCAGGAAGAAGAAGCGCGGGAATGCAAGTCGCTTCGTCTCGAGGTAGTCGTTCAAGCCCTGGCTGTAATACTTGTTGGGGGCTTAGGGCTTTAGGGCTTAGGGTATTTAGGGTTTAGGGTTTAGGGTTTAGGGTTTAGGGTTTAGGGTTTAGGGTTTAGGGTTTAGGGTTTAGGGTGGTAAGCTTCCAGCACGATACTGGGTTCTGGAGCGTAGTGCATGCATTTCTGCATAATCTGGCGTTGATTGTGGTATGCAAAGGAGAGCATAAACACCATACAGTGTCAATATTGATCAATATCGATCTCCATGGCCACTTGACTCCTTATGACAAGTCAAGCATGATTGCTCACAGGATTTGAGATGGAGCTTGGGCCTGGGCTGAAAAACTTGAAGCAACCGACGATAGAGCGCATGAGCCCCAAAACCTGAAACTCGAATCCTTGCCGATCTCAGCACCGCTGACCTTCTGGACGATGTCTAGATTCGCGTTGCACCTGCGCGGAGACAACCGTCGCTTAAGCTTCGGGAGATGTTGGTTTCGGAAAGTTTGGTGAGTTTAGTTTCTGCTTCGGCTTAGATTTAGGGGGCCATGAGAGCGACTGTAGCTTGTTGTTCACCGGGGTGGAGTGGAAGCAACTGAGCCGAAACCCCGACAAATCCCTCGTCCGCAGTCTTCAAGGCTACTCCTAAAAACCCAAACCCCGAACCCTGAACCCTAAAACCTAAACCTTCCTACGCAGCTTCCTAAGCCAAAAAAGCCCTGTGGAGGGCTTTGCAGCCCCTCAAACCCTGGACCCTAAACCCTAAGCCCTAAACCCTAAACATCCCTAAACCCTAAACCCTAAACCCTAAACCCTAAACCCTAAACCCTAAACCCTAAACCCTAAACCCCTCGGGGGCCTCTGCAGAAGCTCCAGAAGCCCAGGGGCCTTGGTGGCCTCCATGGCCTTACCAGCCCTGCACGTGGAGGGTTTAGGGTTTAGGGTTTAGGGTTTAGGGTTTAGGGTTTAGGGTTTAGGGTTTGGGGTTTGGCGTTTAGGGTTTAGGGTTTAGGGTTTGGGGTTTGGGGTTTAGGGTTTAGGGTTTGGGGGTTTGGGGTTTGGGGTTTGGGGTTTGGGGTTTGGGGTTTGGGGTTTGGGGTTTGGGGTTTGGGGTTTGGGGTTTGGTACGGTTTTTCTTTGGTCCTGCAGGCGAGTGCTTGGCTTTGGCTCTTTTGTGCTTTCCGGAGATTTCCCCAAAAACCTTGAAACATGGAGACAAGAGGTTTTTTGGGAGTGCCTGGACGAATGTCCCTTCGCGAGACCTGCAAGCGCTTAGTTTTGAGAAAAAGCCACTGTGCTTTTAAGTACTGGGTGGGAAGAGTTGCTCCCCTGTTCTTTTAAAGGCTCTTCTTCCTGCTTGGGTCCTCAGCTGCTCTTGGGGTTTAGGGTTTAGGGTTTAGGGTTTAGGGTTTAGGGTTTAGGGTTTAGGGTTTAGGGTTTCAGAGTAGGCTGGCTTCTCATCCCAAGCGGCGAACTTGGCAGAGTTGCTACAGGACGTCCTGCCCCTACCCTAGACCTCCATGCAAGCCTACACCAGAAACCCTAAACCCTAAACCCTAAACCCTGAACCCTGAACCCTAAACCCCGAACCCTAAACCCTAAACCCCAAACCCTAAGCCCTAAACCCTAAACCCACACTAGACACGCCCCATCGACCCGCATCCACCGCCGTTCCGGTAAACAAGCCCGCGTCGCTCTAAAGCAGCAGCCATGGTGGTGCGCCAGTCCATGTCCACTTGCTTGAAGATCCCGGCCTGCTAGCATCGAGTTTAGGGTTTAGGGTTTAGGGTTTAGGGTTTAGGGTTTAGGGTTTAGGGTTTCTGGCAGGGTCATCTGCTGAATGAACCCTCAGCCCAAGCCATGCGGCTTGCAGCTTGCTGAATGTGCATGAAGCTTGAGCTCGCTTGAATACATGGAAAGACCTCTGCTCACATCCTTCCGCGCGCCTCTGTAGGCATCTGCTTCACGATGTCCTCCGAGGAGAAGATGGGCTCAAGGTAAAGCCACACGCCCTGCACCTGCAAGGCTCTTTAAGGACGATCTCAAGCAAGAACCTTGTTCCCAGCATGGTCTCTCTTGACCGAATTCTTACTCGTTTCTACATCCGAAGGCTCTTCACAGTGAGACCGGTGCGCATGACAATGGAACACCGCTACTCGGAAGAATGGAAAAGATGTCCTTTGAATGGGCAAGCAGGGAGAAGCCCCGTGGCTTGGATGTCTTTTGCATGGTTTTGTGCACGAGGGCCATGGAACCGGGCGCACATTTGGAGAAAATACAGTCTGAAGGTCTGCTAGTGCGTCACAAGTCCGTGTCAAGTCCCGGCAACACGTCGCTTCAGGCGTGAACGTATGGCGCAAGCAATGCAAACATCAACAACACGGCCAGTCTGCTAAGCTGCAAGTTGAACTCCTTCATTCTAGGGCTTCGGTCATTTTTTTGTTTAGGAATAGTACTTTGAGGTTTTGAGGGCAAGAAGTCCACATTCATATGGAGGGCCTTCTGCCACACATCCATGATCTCCTGCGCAGCTGGGTAAGGGCACGTTGTCCTAGAATCCCAATGGCCACAGCTACCACGAAGCCTTGAGCCCCCTGCGAACACCCGAAAGCCTCTAAACCGTGAAGGTATCACCTTGCCTTCTACTAGTCTACATCCATATCACTTGTGATATCCACTTCTTCAACTTGCACTTTCTACACCCTGAGCCCCAGCTACTTGTTCTGAAGACAAACAGTTCTTGAATAGACCTAAAGCATTTCCAAGCCCTACACCCTATCTTTCGTCCGTTTGCCGGTGCTGCGTCACCCTGTCCCTAAACCCTAAACCCTAAACCCTAAACCCTAAACCCTAAACCCTAAACCCTAAACCCCGTCCTGCGTCTGGAGGAGCCAGGACTCCAACCTCGCTGGGCTCACTGAGGGGGGGGGGGGGGGCTTGTAGCGACTTGTTCACGTTGGCTTCGTTAACTTCTAGGGTTTAGGGTTTAGGGTTCAGGGTTTAGGGGTTGAGGGGTTGAGGGGTTGAGGGTTTAGGGGTTTAGGGTTTAGGGGTTTGGGGTTTAGGGTTTGGGGGTTTAGGGTTTGAGGGTTTAGGGTACAAGGGTGTGACTTGTCACTACACACAAGGACGCAGTCGGGGATGCCCCGGGATGCCCGACTCATTCACGGAGATGGATTAGCCGAGAGGAGGCTTGCTCATACGTCGCAGGAAAATGACCAAGTCGATATGGCCCCCTGCTCCTCATGTGAAGTGCAGCATGTGCTTGCTCCACGTTTCGCGGTGGAGACAGTGAGGAGACAGTGATTGGAGAGAAAAAGAGAGAGGAGGGCTTGGATGGAGAGAGGGAGACCGGGAGAGGCACGAGGACCGAATCCCCGGCTCTGCAAGGGCCGGTCCCAGATGGAGGCGATGCAGGGCAGCGGGCCGATCAGCATTCCCCAGGCCCTGAAGACCCCCAAGTGAGAAGGAATCAAAACCTTGTGCTAAAATGACCGAAAACCATCTACAGCCATCCAGAACCCAAGTCCGCGAACATCTGCTGGCATGGTTGGTTCTGAGGTACCCGGCGAGGTGATCTTGTCCATGAATGCCTTGGCATATGGCGAGCCTGGCGGGTGGCAGAGTTCGGAATCAGGCAAATTTGCAATGGCTTCATGTTGATTCCGAGATTGCTTTGGAGGCTTTGGCTTCGTGTTGCGTCGCTTTCGCAAGGCGACGCTTGTGCATAGACTCGGATGCTAGGCCTGGTGTCCGCAGTATGTAAAACACTTTGGCAGCTTGGGCTCATTATCAGCTTCCGGTGCTGCAAGCTGCTGCTAGACTGTGCTGTGCCAAGTCAAACTTCCATGCCGGCAGGCTGAGTGGCGTGGCTTCTTGCGCAAAGGCAAAAACGCTGCGCTTAGAGAAAGCCGAACAGCAAATTGCAGCATCTGCAAGTCTGCAAGTATCTGCCGATGGTTCGGATGAAACACCACGAACCTTCAACATTGGCGTAGAAGCTGCGTCAAAAGCTCTTGTCGCCAAAAATTCAGGACGAGAGAAGCGCGTGCAGCCCCAAACAGGTCTGAAGAAACCGGAGGCCTTTCATGGTCTGTACCTTGATGATGTGATCGTCCATGAGGCTCTGCCTCAGCTGGGAGCCCGGAATACCCAGTCCCGGCAGGTCAGCATGACAAGCAAGCTCTGACCAGCCATCGCCAGATCCACGAAAGGCAGGGGGGGACACTTCTATTGGCTCTTAGGTCAAAGTACCTATGTGCTCGGTATTGTTCGGTTGCGGGAACATATCCATGTGCCGATGCTTCCAACACGTATGAACTTGCCCGTAACATCTCGGCTGCTTTAGCATTAGCATTCCGGGTCTTTGGGGCTGCTATCATCTCTGCACATTTGACAGCCGATGGCCCACGAGGCAAACTCAGAACCCCGGATTTCGAGGTGAGGTGCCATCTTGGGCTACAAAAGCATGCTTTTAACTGTTTGGGGGAGTACGGGGCATCAGCAGACCCCACTCAATGCAACTGCAGCTCAGACAAGAGGCATCTCATCCACGGTCGTCCCAGCAACGATGTACGTCTCCGTGTCCTTCGAAGCATCATGCAAGAGACGTCCAGTCGCTGAAGCTGACATAAAGACCTAGCTTAGGTTAGCGTGACTCACCTATGCTCGATAGCGGCCAGCAGTTCAACCAGAAGATTTACTGAACATCCAGACACTTCAGAGAACTTAAGTTCAGCTCCTGCCTCCCTGATTTCCCTGTTCCAACTTCCGAAAGCAAAGGAACCCCTAACCCTGCATTTCACAAGTTTCACAAGCTTCAAGGGATGGGATCATTGAGAAGCCACGAACTCTGCCCATTCGTTCCCTCTGCCCTGAAACCAGAAATGCTGAAACCCTCAGCTGGAAGACCCAGAACCCACAAGACATTGCCCACAAGACATTGGGGTGTCCGGTACCTTATTGGGGTTCTTATGATAAGGGAATGCTACTATTTGGGGTCTACATTGGGGTCCCTTACTTTCGTAAACCTCCACATAGGCCCATGACCAAACCCTAAACCCTAAACCCTAAACCCTAACCCTAAACCCTAAACCCTAAACCCTAAACCCTAAACCCTAAACCCTAAGCCCATGACCGCGAACGGCCTTCCAAGGTTTCAGCTCGAAGTTTACGGGCTGCCACTGCTCGTATATGGACTCGAGGGTCTTCTCCTCTCTCATGTGGCTGTGCATTCTGAGCCCTTGCGGTTGTGGGGTAGGGTTTAGGGTTTAGGGTTTAGGGTTTAGGGTTTAGGGTTTAGGGTTTGGGGTTTGGGGTTTGGGGTTTGGGGTTTGGGGTTTGGGGTTTGGGGTTTAGGATTTAGGGTTTTAGGGTTGAGGGTTTAGGGCGCTTCAGAGAGGCTCCCGCTACTTGGGCTGCTTGGTGCTGTCGGGTTGAACAAAGCGTGCCTGGACTGCAGCTGGGAAAGGCTTTGCATCATCACGCTTTTCGAGTTTGGCCGAATGATGGCTCTTGAAGAAGTTAGCTTCGTTTCGGGTGCCAAAGAGACTCCAGGATCAGGTGATGGAAGCACGCGGGATAGGCAGTTCCAGGCTTCGTTAGGGCTTAGGGTTTAGGGTTTAGGGTTTAGGGTTTAGGGTTTAGGGTTACTGTGGTTGCTGAGGTCCCATTTTCCAGATACGGGCGGCTCTGAGGCCGAGGCTAATCCGTATTCTCTAGATGCCGAGTCGGAGATCTCCTGAAGAGCATTCCTCGAAGCAGGGGTAATTAAGCTAATTAAGCAGAAATTTCGGATGGGGTGACAGAGGGGTTTAGGGTTTAGGGTTTAGGGTTGGGTACCACAGTTGCTCTCAAACCTGATCCGCACAGGGTGTCAACGGAAGCGGCCCCCCTGCCGGGCATGGCGCGTGAGCCCCGGGCATGTGAGTGCCAACGTCCATGTCCACCACTCTGCTTAGGGTGAAGGCCGCATCCCGCTCCATGGTAAAGCCAACGACCTTCCAGGGTTTAGGGTTTAGGGTTTAGGGTTTAGGGTTTAGGGTTTAGGGTTTAGGGTTTAGGGTTTAGGGTTTAGCCAGTTGGGTTCCTCTACGACTCAGGTGCTCTACACTAGTCCAAGTTGAAACCCGCTCGAACTTGGAACAAAAAATTGGAAAGGTTCCTCCCCGATGCCTCCTGCTGCTCTTGGAGCCATGCCAAATCCCCAAACCCCTACTTGGAGGTGTATGGTACTTATTAACCAATTAGAACTGCACTTTTCATCCACTTATACGCCCCTTGAGTGCCCTAACATGGATATAAGTACGGTTTTCAAGTACAGTTATAACTGGTCAATAAGTACCATGAACCTCCAAGTAGACTCCAACCCCACAACTCCTCCAAATCCAAGAGCCCTTCCGGATCCTCAAAATCTCTGGCAACTCGAGAATCTCTAGTATGCCTCCATAGCCTCCGCCCGCGCCGCGCACTTGCAAACACCAGGGTGAGCCACATGAACCCTAAACCCTAAACCCTAAACCGACTTGGCAACACATAGGTTCAGGCTGCGGGTCTAGCTTAGCTCTCAGGGATTGAAAAGCCAAGTTTAGCAGCTTTTTTGCGTAAGTCCCGCCTCAGAAATCTCATCCCAGTGCCGCTGGCGCAGACCCGGATTGCCTGCACACGACTTCGACCCTCGAGAACTGGATATGCGGTCAGAATGAACGAGACAACTATGAAGTGAGTCCTCAGCTGGTTCAAAACGGAACGCTTGCAAGAGGGGAGGCAAGTAAGCCCGCGAGTGGCTTCCCAACAGTGCATATGTGTTGGTTCATGGTTCAAAGCTTTGGGCTTGTGGCCTCAGGCGACTTCGCAGAGGCACAGCATGTTACCAGTTGTACAATTGTGTGCAAGTAAGACAAGTTCTGGCACGCATTGAAACCCAACACGACAGACAGGACCACATGCAAGGCTCAGCTACGATGAGGGTTGAAAGCGCAACCATAAAGCAGACAATGCCAGATGCACATCCTCTGCTTTGCTGCATTCTCACAGGTGGGGGTCGCACTGCTGGCGAAATGCTGGAGTGGTTCAAGATTGCAGCGCATTCCCGACAGTCACAAGGGAGATTGCGCAATGAGGGAAAGGAATGCCTGCACCGGGGGTAATCTCCTCCAGTACACCTTTCTTATTTGTACTCTACAAAGCGATCTTGTTGGCTGAGGCACATAAGGCGTGGATCAGCGGCAGGTGCTGCTTGAAGGCGTCCAGGTCCTGCATAGTCTTGACGATTGCCGGCATTTCAGGGTTCAAGCTGCGCCGCTTATGGCCTAGCAGCCTCTAGTGCTCAGGCTTAGCTCGAGTGCCAAGCGTGGGAGGGCGGATTCTGTGAAGACGGGAGAGGGCTTTTGACAGGTGGAGTTGCATGTCTGGGATCTGGGGGGTACATAAAGGTGGACAACCTGATTGTTCTGGCCAGATGCACCTAAAGGCCTAGGGTACAGGGTTCAGGGTTCAGGGTTCAGGGTTTAGGGGTAGGGTTTCGACGCCAGATTCAGCAACCTCCCAAGCCCACTTTGAGCTCATCTTCCGCAAGTTCCCAAAGGAGCGTTGCATCATGTTGCATAAGAGAGGCACCCAACGAGCCCAATACCCCTTAATTAAGGAATCTTCCTTAGATCATAAGAAGGATCCCTTTATAACTCAAGCTATATTCCCTCATGAAGGGGTATTGGGCTCTCTGGGCAACGAAACTCGAAGCTTGCACCACTTGCGCCCACGGTTTGCACACATCAAACGTCGCACCTTCTTGATCTTCTTGGCCACTCCCGCGGGGATCGGCAGCGTGATCGACTCGAAAAAGCCCTGACGATCGAAACCACTTTGAGTTTGATGAGGGCCCTGGAGAGACCCTCCCGATGCTTCGTCCACACGTCTTCTTTCACTCCAGCTACACTGCTAGAAGCTCTGAGGATTCAGACATGCGCCTACGATCTGAGAATTGCTGGATCACACCTCTGGCATACAGCAGGAATCTGGGCTGGTAGTGTCTTTGCCCGATGTGTTTTGTTGCTGCTCCCTTGTCGTCCCCTTGGCGTTCGCTGCATCTCTTGTGACAACCAGCATCCTTGAGACCTGACGACAAAGCCAGGGTCCCAAAACGATGACAGATATGGGTGGTTGTCAAAATTAGGGTCCCTTTTTGGATCCCTATTATAATACGGCACCTAAGATTTAGGGTACCCCAAAAAGGTCCATAATTTTGACAACCACCCGTATGAGCATGGCGACTCCAACACCTGCCAAAGCCCGGTGCAAAGACAAGCAGGATGTCTGCTCAACATTGATCCAGCATGCTCAGTCAATTAAACCCTAAACCCTAAACCCCAGACCCTAAACCCTGAACTGAAAGCTAAACCCTAAACTGCCCTAAACCCTAAACCCTAAACCCTAAACCCTAAACCCTAAACCCTAAACCCTAAACCCTAAACCCTCAGTCTGCCATTACAAGTGCGGCCTCCATGTCTAAAGCAGGCTTTGGGCTGATGGCCTGCAGCTTCATGGCCCGCTTCGCCAAACTGTTGGCCAGAGTGTCCACTGCCTGAAGATGACCGCAAACATCCGCAAACCTGAATAATAACATAAATAATAAAAATGATAATAATAGAAATAAAAACAATAATAGCAATTTCAATAACCATAATCATCAGAGTAACAAGAATAATAAACCGGGGGTCCCCATGGCAGAGATGCCCCAAGGGTTCAGGATGGGTTGTAGGGCCTATCTGGGCGTTGTGACCTGTGTTGAACCACTGTGACACATGGGCCTTGCGTGGTCATGTGTTCGGTGGTAGAGATATGACCTCTTACATTACATTCCTACATGGAAGGACCTTCATGTTTCTACGAGGCCCTCGACTGCAAGTGTCAGACACTTCAAGAGACAAGTTTCCGCTGATGATGTTGATGCGGCAATGCTGGTAAGCATGCCCTCTCTATATACGCGGGCTGGAGAGTGGCATGCCTAGCTAAACGCTGAAATTTTCCTAGGTTGGAAGTGCTGCCAGCCTCTGGCTCAAGTTGGAAAAGTGGACCCCGCATCCACTTCTTCTCCTTTCAGCAGCGTTTAGGGTCGTTTTAGGGTTCGATGATGCTCAACGCTCCAAGCAGCATCTGATAACCCCCTGCCTAGCATGACTTCAATACGGGAACAAGGTGTTTAGACTGCTCAGACGTGTAGGAATGGGGAACATGATATCTGCCTCACTTGTGAAGCGGTAGACAAGCTCCCAGAGGTCGTCATAGGGATGGAGCTTCTCGATTGCCTGGCGTGTAGAACTTGCTAACTGATAGCTGCTGCATAAGTTGCATCAGCAGTGCCTGTGACTCTAAACCCTAAACCCTCAACCCTCAACCCTAAACCCTAAACCCTAAACCCTAAACCCTACCACGGTACTCAGCATTTTTTCATTGCAAGTTGTAGGACTCACACCGAGAGTTCATATGAGCAGTTTCTTCGTTCCCCAAACCTCACCCTAAACCCTAAACCCTAAACCCTAAACCCTAAACCCTAAACCTCAATAAACCAACAGCAAAAACCGAAAACCTGAAGCCTCCCATCCCCGACACCCCGAATCCATCGGGCCAGCCCTGACACTTCATCCTGTAGCCTTGACGTTCCCTAAACCCTAAACCCTATAAACCCTAAGAACCCAGAACCCAGAACCCTAAACCCTAAACCCTAAACCCTAAAACCTAAACCCTAAACCCTAAACCCTTATGGCTCAGAGACTCAAGCCCCTATGCTGTCTCCCTACACTTCGTGGCGCTTGGCCCCGGAGCGCCACCTACGCAAGCAAACGCGCAGGCCCAGGGTCTGAGAGCGGCTGTCATGATCTGGTATTGTGGTGTATAATAGGGTTTAGGGTTTAGGGTTTAGGGTTAGCTACCAGCCCTATAGTAAATACAGACTTGGTAGATTGCTTTGGTGAGCGAGGTGAATACCAGCGCAGGGGAGCGCCCCTGCCTCAGTGAGCTTCTCGAACTCGCTCGCATCCCAGCCCAGCAGAACCTGTGGGTGGGCATCACAAAGCAGGGTTTAGGGTTTAGGGTTTAGGGTTTAGGGTGTAGACAAATCGGTGCGGCGGTGCGTCTGACTGGCTAAAACGACTTTTTGGGCACAACTGCTGCCAAGGTGTGAGGCCAACCGTCTTTGCCGAAGAACATGCGAACTTGTTGCATCCTCATGGCTTGGCAACAAACATCCTAAATTCGCAAAAATATTCTCAGAATCAAACCCCGAAGCAATTGTAAGACACATAGCGCTAAAGATCTCAACCTTTCGCCACCCTCGGGCCTCTTTTTCGCGGAGCTTCTCCGCGTCGAACTGTGCACGCTCCAGGTGTTCCTCGAGTGGGCAGTGACTTCTCTTGGCGATGCCGATGGCAACCGGGAAAGTATGGGTCCTGTATCACAAAGTACATGCCTTCACACTGGTCGATCTTGCGTCGGGTTGGGATATTGAGGAGATCGGGGCAGAGGAGCCAATGCCCTATGGGAAAGGGATGCCTGTCGCCCACCGCTGCGTAGAGTCTCTGGCGGCCCATGTTCCCCTGTTCCGTGAAGCCTGGAGCCCTCCCAAAACCTCCCAACCCTAAACCCTAAACCCTAAACCCTAAACCCTAAACCCTAAACCCTAAACCCTAAACCCTAAACCCTCCAAAATTTCTCACCAAAGCCCCCCTAAAGTTGGGGCATCCTTGAGAGCCAGGATGTGCTCGAGGTGGTCATCCATCTGCTTCAGGTTCCCGGCCTCCTTGAACCTGCCAGAAATAATTCAAATAGTTTAATTAAGTAAGTTAAAAAATCTACACAACTTACATAATTTGAATAATTTATATAATTGAAATTATTTGGCGGCTTCCGAACTTCGCCTCGGCTTCCTGCCCAGAAGCGTTTGGAACAAGCAGACACGGATCTCCCCTTGCCCAACCCTACCCCCCCATGCCAAAATTGTGACGCACCCCCCGCCCCCGCCCCCCAGCCCTGTGGGACCCCCACCCACCATCGCTTGGAGGAGCCGCAACCGATGCCGTGAAAAGGGTCGGCGGAAAAATGGCCCGGGAACCCCCCCCCCTGCAACCCTCTGGGACCCTCCCCTCCTGGGATTTGGGACCCTTTCTTGGGAGGTCCCACCTCCTTTTTTGAGGCCCTCTTTCCTCCCTTCCTGTGGGCCGGGCTGCCGAGGCGCGCCGCGCGCGCAAGCGCTTACAATTAGGGTTTAGGGTTTAGGGTTTCGGGTTTAGGGTTGAGGGTTTCGGGTTGAGGGTTTAGGGCTTAGGGGCACCTTATTGGGGTCCTTAAAATCAGGATCCTACAATTTGGGCTCCCTTTTCAGAAAAGGGGGGGGGTACATAAGGGTACCCCTATTGAGCCCGGCACTCAACATCTTAGCCCGAAAGCCAAGATCCTTCCAAACCTCAACTCGTCAAAACGAACCGAAAGTCTGAAACTCATAGAGAATCCATTTCTTGCAATGACTGTAATTGTTTTGTAGCTATTATCACTATGATACTTATTCTATTTCATGATTATTCGTAGAATTACAGCATCCTCAGACATCCTCTGAGATCCTAGCTTGTTCACCATGCCCAGGTAGCCGGCCAAGTCATCCTCGAAGGACTGGCGGTCCTGTGCCACAGCTGTCATGGTTTAGGGTTTACGGTTTAGGGTTTAGGGTTTAGGGTTTAGGGTTCAGGGTTTAGGGTTTAGGGATGCCCCACATTCTCGGTGTGTAAGCAGCCTTGAACTTGAATAGTCGCCGTGTCATGTATTTGAATAGTTGTTTTGTCATGGTGGAGGTATGAACATGCTTTGGGGGGATTGGAGGTCAGAGCCGTGGAAGTGCCGGGATTTCAACTTTCAAGGACTCTGTATCAGGATGGAATTGCACTTCAATGTCTCCGCTAGGCTCATGGAGGTCGGAGGGGATGGATGTACTCGATAATAGAAGCAATCGATGCAGGATAGCTACGAGGATTTCGGATCCGGTTCTGTTGTTGGGGCCCTTTGTGGAACAGACCTTTCACAGATGACAGGCAGCTTTCTCATTGTAAAGGTAATTCCGTTCTAAGCCTTGTTATTCTGCATTCCTAGTATGGTTCGTATTGCATAGCCAGGCCTTCTTGAATTTCTTCTCGATGGCATCGCGCTCCGTCCTCGCTGGCTCCGGCATGTCAGGTGTGAATCTTCGGAGTAGCATGTGACCCTCCGAGTGATACTAGTACTAGTATGAGTCCAGATGAACCATGCAGTAAGTCACAGTGTATTCTAGTCCATGGACGAGCTTTATACCACATGGTCCATGCTGTAGCGCTATGAGTCCAACCCTCGATGCCTGTCACTGCCAGACAACTGCTTTCAAGATCGAACAAAAACATGTGCACGAATGGGAACCACGGCTCACAGTCGAATAGTAGAATGACTTGTAAACCAGCGCCGATCAAAGTACCTGCACCCTGGAATGCAGTTGACTCATGCACAGCTGAGTCGCTGAGTCGATTGGCAAGTTATTTAAACTGTGAACTAAGTGCTTGAGCGTTTTCGTCGTCATCGTCACCGTAGTCGCATGCCCGGTAGCAGCAGCATGCTACGAGTAAGATCAAGGTCTTTGCGCCAGTGCAAGTTGTTTTGGGGGGAGGGTTCTGTTGGACTGGGACCCGGTCCTCTACGTTCAGGCGACCTCAACCACACCCCTCGATAGGAGCAACTGTCCGAAATCCTCCCACGTCACCCGAAGTGCGCATCAGATGTCAAAGACGCGCAACGCACACATGCGACCCACCAGAATTTACATCCCCAGCCCTGGAGCCGAAAAGTGCAAACGTCTCCTCAGCGACTGCTCTTTGGTCATCATCTTCGATTCGATGCTCTGGACCCAGACTGCCGTGTCCACGATCGCCTCCCGTTGGCATTTTCATCAGGCAAGCTACAGCACTCAATAATCAAGGCGCTGCAATGCGTCCGCGGTTAGGGTTTAGGGTTTAGGGTTTAGGGTTTAGGGTTTAGGGTTTAGGGTTTAGGGTTTAGGGTTTAGGGTTTAGGGTTTAGGGTTTAGGGTTTAGGGTTTAGGGTTTAGGGTTTAGGGTAGTTATAGAAAGTAATTGCATCCGGGCATGATGCAGTGACCCTTTTGTCCTGCGCCGCGAGAGCCTGTACACGTACGCCAGCGAGCGCTCACAGAGCCAGCGTTGTGCACAATCTTCCCACAGATTTCCACAGTACGGTACGTTGCTACGTACGCTTGCTGAAGCATGGGGCATGGCACGTGAGGCTTGAGCCAGCCATGCTATGTATCTTTAAAGCTCACAGCCCGGAACACCTAACCGCCTCTACGTCCTCAAACCCATCAAGTATAGGGAAGTCGTGACGTTTTCATTGGCCCTCGACGCTTGTACTCCGAGCCGTAGCTTTGTCGGCTCGAGACGCTCGAACTTTGGGCTGCGAGGCTCTTTCCCTTCCTCGCACGTCTTTTGGAGATTCTTGGAGAGCGTTCAGCTAAGGCGGATATAAGAGGAAGGTTGTCGTCCGGAAGGGGAGATGCACAGCAGATGCTGAGGATACACGGCTAGCACACTTAGAGCTTAGAATGCAAAGGGCGGCTGAGAACTAGTAAGGGCGGAAGTCATGGCGGAAGATGGTGAAAGTCGGCTGAATTGTCAGCCAGGCGTGAAGGCCCGGGCGTCCTCGGGGATGATCCAAAAGACCTGCAAGTGCGGTCTGGAGACCCTAAACCCTAAACCCTAAACCCTAAACCCTAAACCCCAAAACCCCAAAACCCCAAAACCCTAAACCCCAAACCCTAAACCCTAAACCCCAAACCCCAAACCCTAAACCCTAAACCCTAAACCCTAACCGTCTGGAGTTCAGACTGGAGTTAAGGGAAACAGTTCGGGCGAGGTTTGGCATGGAGCTTCGAGGCCAGGAGTAGCATCCAAAGTCTGTGCAAGGCTTTCTGTGCTGATGCTAGGGTTTAGTTAGGGTTTAGGGTTTAGGGTTTAGGGTTTAGGGTTTAGGGTTTAGGGTTTAGGGTTTAGGGTTTAGGGTTTAGGGTTTAGGGTTTAGGGTTTAGGGGCCGTCCACCCTGGCCAGGGTCTGCTTGACATCGAGCGACTTGCACGTGGAACACCTCCGGAACGCTGGCTGCAGGGTTGCGATACCTCGGCAAGTGCCACATAGACACAACAAAGACTTGGGAGGATGGCTGAGGATGGCAGTTTTCCAACCAAAGTCACCCCCGACGAAACTCAAAGTTGAACTTCAACGGTTCAGGGTTTAGGGTTTAGGGTTTCGGGCTTAGGGCTTAGGGTTTAGGATGTCCGGTTTGTCCACCTGGTCGTGTCTGGTTTGGTGCTCCTTTGGCGGCAGCGAGAGCAATGAAGAAACTAAGATACCGAAGGCATGGCCGTCAAAACGCCCACCTCTGAGCATGGGCTGGGGCACCTGGTGACCTGGTTTAGGGTTTAGGGTTTAGGGCTTAGTGCTCTCCTTTTTACGACCTCTGCCCTTGGGCCGCTTTGGAGCCTCAAAGCTTTGCTTTCCTAGTCTTCACCATGCCCATCTTCTCCATGAAGGTCGTCTGGAGGTCTAGCAGATGCAAGACAGCCTTGGGTGGGCGCGCCATGACCTCGAAGCGGGTCACCTTGCCCTCGGAATTCAGGGTCACCAGGTCCGTGCCGCGCATGAAGGGACCATCCTCCTTGCCGAGGTTGCATTCGAACTCGAGCGCGAAGCCCTCATCGCCGAGAAAGGCTCGGGTGTACCGAAAGCGCTTGAAGGCCTTGCACACGCCAACCAGCGCAAACTTGATGAACTGCTTGTCGCGGCGTTCCTTGTGGTATGTAGGCGCCAGGAACAATGGCTCATCGATCAGAATGTCGTCTAAAATCTCAAGCAGCCGCCCGTCGTCGCCGCCCATACCGATCTTTATGGCTGAGTGCCACGCCAGCAACGTGGAATTTGCTTCTGGAGCATTTAGCCTGCCGATCACAGTTACCCCGTCGGCCAAAAACGCAGAGCGTGCGTCTTCCCCCATCTCGGACGAAAGAAGTGCTTGGAAGTACAGAACTTGAGGTGCTTGGCTACCTGCCTTTTCTTGTTGTCTGCAATCTGTGGCTCTAACCTTTCGCACTATCTCTTACAGTTTCGGAGTGCAGGCCACGTAATGCGTAACTACTACATACAGCTTGTACTGAAGAAGCGTTTCTGCTCGGTAGCTGGATCCTTGACAGCAGCTGCAAGCCTTGAGGGAGGGCACCTTTCTGACTTCTTTCATGGTCCACGGTTAAGGGTTTAGGGTTTAGGGTTTAGGGTACAGCAACCCAGCCAATGCTGCGAAGCTGCCAGATGTAATCCACCTTGTCGAAGCCTTGAGACTCCACCTGAGCATGATTTTGCTGGGAAGGTGGGGGGGGACACCTCTGAGCCATCTCTTCTTCTGCTCCCTGCAAGTGCCACGGTGGCAGTTGCAGCTTGAGGTTGCCGGCTTCGGGGTTAGCTAGGGGTTTAGGGTTTAGGGTTTAGGGTTTAGGGTGTTCAGAGTTGTTGTTCAAGCTCGGTGGGGTTGTTGCCGTGTGTCAGCGCCTGCCACTTGGGTCCAGGAACAGTCCTGGCTCTGCCAACCCCCAGCCAGAGCGGAGGCCCTTGGCCTATATAAGCCTTCGAACACAATCAACCAAAGTGCAAACACAGCAGAACAGAAGTCTTCACCTCCACATTCAAAGCCCAGTCCATGAGCTGAGGGTGAACAGCTTCTACCTGTCGCCCCACCCAGATGGGCCTTTGCGAAAGGAGGTATTACGAAAATTTTACAGGGCCTTCGCCTTAGAGGTGTAGTCGTTTGGGAGGTCATGAATCCAAGTCTTGCACCTGCTGGAGCTACAAAAACCGAGTTCTGAGGATGCAGCCACCATCATCAACTCCTGTCGTACGTCCTTCCAGCTGGGGAAAGCCCGGCAACCCTTCACCCAGAGCCACGCAACTTGAGTTTCAGCATAGACTTCACAACTAAGTTTTGCGGAGGTCGCGAGTTATGCTCAGAGAGGTCCTGATCGATGACGTCGTCTGGAAAATCTGCCACCTCTCATGGCAGCTGAGAGTTCAGACGCAGACCCACGGCTAAGGGTCGCAGCGTGTACATTTCTGATTTTCGTGCTTTTTAGGCAGACCTGGAGACCTCACAGTACTGGCTAGCCCGGACTGGAAGCCTGGTATGAAAGCAGAACAAAGATACCCTAAACCCTAAACCCTAAACCCTAAACTCTAAACCCTAAACCCTAAACCCTAAATGGTTCCATGACCTGGCTTGGAACCAGAGATCATGGTGATGACGTCTGGATCCGGATCTACTTTCCAATCCTGTACATCATCCTCCGCATCCACTTCTCTCTGAGATTTTTTCGCAGCCTGCACTCAGAACCCCATATTTCATGAACATCCATGAGCCCAGCACTGCCTCCTCCCAAGGGAAGTGGAGGTACCTGATGAAGCAGGCTAGTGTGCCAGGACTTCCCTGGGCCATACTACATGGCCTTCTCGGGCAATGCAGGGATCTCAGCGCATCGCAGGTGTGACGCCACATGCCCCCGAGTCGCGACTTGAAGGTTTAAGGGCTCACAGCTGTGGAAAGCCAAGCTGCCCAGTTTCACGGTCTTCTTTCGAAAGACACGATCGTGCCGTGGGATCCTCTAAGTTGGACACCCCATGCACATCCCTCTTGCCTAAAAAACCCAAAGCCTCAAGCAATGTGAACTTACACTCAGCGTGTGAGCCCTACAGCTCCCCTCACTGACCCCTACGCACATTACATTAAGACACCACAAGCTCAGCCTAGAAGTCCGCAGCAACCCCCTAGGGCTGAATGGTCAACACCAAGCCACAAAGCCTTAGGGTTCTTGGAGGCCGGAGAATTAAATCAGGTAGTAGTAGTAGTAGTAGTAGTAGTAGTAGTAGTAGTAGTAGTAGTAGTAGTAGTAGTAGTAGTAGTAGTAGTAGTAGTAGTAGTAGTAGTAGTAGTAGTAGTAGTAGTACCAGTAGCAAGGACAAAAAACAAAAAAACTCCCAAAAAAACATCAAAAAATCCTTAAAAGAATAGACCTCCGTTCTTGGATTCTCTAAGCCTTTTGCAAGGCAGAGGCGAGCTGCCACAGGAGCCAGTGCTGCGCACGCTGCTGCAGCGGACTTGCACCGGGCCTTCAGTCAAGTCACTCTCAGGGCTTAGGGCTTGGGGGTTTTGGGCTTTGGGTTTTGGGTTTTGGGTTTTGGGTTTTGGGGGGTTTCCGGAACTAGGGGCTACCTTACTGGAGTACTTGGGAATTATAAGGGAATCCTACTATTTGTGGGTCGATATCGAAGATCCCTTGTTCTCGTAAACTCACACATCTGGGTACGTGCTGTAAAGAGCCACGGGCACATATTGTTGGTGGAGAGGCGTGCTATGGGGCACTTTGGGGAGGGCACGGGCCTGGAAGCGTGAAGGAGTTCTACAGAATCGCATGGTACCATACCGCAATTGAGCTCGTGCTGATGGAACGCGTGTTGACGGGATGGACATAGTCAAGCAGCTGAGCGGAATATTCATGTCAAAGACTGTGCGCGATGTCTACATGCATCGATTCAAAGCTACACATCTGGCAATCCCTGGAGAACTGATCTCAAGGGGATGCTGCCTTGCTAGTTTCTCACTTTCAACCATCACACTGTGACACCCCTCAAGTCCTGAAACAATGCGAGCCCTACTAAGCCCTAAGCAGCACTCAAGTGCAGCGCCTCTCCGGCAGCTGGTAGGGATAGCGGTTGGCTGCGAAGACAGGCTTTGGTCGTTCGGAGCTGCTGCTGTACCCGCTGAAGTCAGCCTGCTAGCTTGGGCTGTGGGCTTCTAGACTGAGGACGAAGCTCGTTCTGAGATCCTAAAGCCAAAACTGCAACATCTCGCTGCCAGTGCAATGCTTTCCCACGGTTTTCCTTGGCTTCAAAGGGGCAGCTGACGAGCATCTACTTGTCACGTGGCAGGCTGCAGTACTGGGCCGAGCCAGGAGTGGAGGTACGGGGTTCAGAGGTTGTGGCCGTTTTTCGCCACGCTCTTTGTCGGACACCAGAAAGAGCCAAAAAGCGCCATGGAAAAGCAAAGCTTTAGGGCCCGAAGGGCTGTGTGACAAAATGCGCCATGTGAGTCCGTGAGTCCCTAAACCCTAAACCCTAAACCCTAAACCCTAAACCCTAAACCCTAAACCCTAAACCCTAAACCCTAAACCCCTTGAGTGCCTCCACCCAGCTGGGTTTCACCAGCTGCCCGTCCAAGTCCCGAAAGTCTGGTATGACAACATCCTGGGAAGAGATTTGGGTTTAGGGTTTAGGGTTTAGGGTTTAGGGTTTAGGGTTTAGGGTTTAGGGTTTAGGGTTTAGGGTTTAGGGTTTAGGGTTTGGGGTTTGGGGTTTGGGGTTTCGGGTCTTGGGTTTAGGGTTTAGGGATTAGGGGTTATTCGTTAGAAAGCGCCCAGCTTCTGAGTTCGGGGGCTCCAGGTGAAAGTTACGGCTATGGCGACGGATCCTCAACTCAAGTTCGGTTTAGGGTTTAGGGTTTAGGGTTTAGGGTTTAGGGTTTAGGGTTTAGGGTTTAGGGTTTAGGGTTTAGGGTTTATGCGTCTCAACAAGATGTCGAACCTCGAAGTGCGCAAGCTCCGTTCGCAATCAAGTTCAGTTGCCAGTGTATCTCTTCGACTCTCACACGGTTCTTGTAAGGACCAGCACACAGCAAATGCTTGCAGACACCATGTGCACTTGCAGTCAAGATGCGGGGCCGACAGTCTTCATGGGGATATTGAACAAAGTGTCGCACAGGTAGTCGTACATCCTGTCCCCATGACAAGGATGCGTATCGTAAGGAGCTCAGCGAGCTAGCAGACACGTGAGTCTCGGCGTTTCGATGTGTGCTCCACATTGACATTCAGTAGATGATGGGAGGTGGACATAGAGCATTGCCAGCATCCAAAAGCCCATTCTTTTAGAAAAATGGGCAATATGCAGCATTTGCAAGGAGAGGTTCGGACCTGACCCGTGGCCGCGCCGTGCCGTCCTCCTGTCGCGGAATGCCCATCATGCCCAACACTTTTAAAAAGCCCCACACTCAAGCACTGCAAGCTTCAAGTGCAGTTGGTGTGCAGGGAAATCGGGCCGAACATATTCTGTCTCGAGCTGTGGTGATGTTGGATGCGGAGTTCTAGATTGCCGCACACCCAGATTGCCTCTGGCTGCCGATACTGCAGCCTGAGCTGAGCAACTTGAAAGTCTCAGCGGCCACGGTTTAGGGTTTAGGGTTTAGGGTTTAGGGTTTAGGGTTTAGGGTTTAGGGTTTAGGGTGTAGGGTTTAGGGTTTAGGGTTTAAGGTTTAGGGTTTAGGGTTTAGGGTTTGGTCCCCTTTAGAAAATTTTAGAAATGTCCATGTCCATCGCCTTCACTGATTCTATCCTTTGGCAAAAGAACATGTTTGTTCTAGTTTGCTCCATGTTCGTCTCCTACGTAGTTCCCTTTCTGTCCCACTCTCTCCCTAAACCCTAAACCCTAAACCCTAAACCCTTTAGCCGAAGGTGCAGGATCTGAAGCCGATCATGCTGCTTCTTTTTTGCAGCCTCGCACATGTGGAGTTGCCATTGCTCTGTGTGGTCCGAACCCTAAGCCCTAAACCCTAAACCCCAAACCCTAAATCCGCCACATCAAAACCATTTCGTCAACAACCTCCTGGAGAAGATGACAGCACAGACGCACGGTTCGAAAGAAAGGAAGCTCTTGCTAAATGCCAGAGAAAATCACCCCACGGCGCTGAACGCCCCGCACTTCCAAACTCTAAAACCTCAACGCACAAACCGGCATCGGCATAACCCTCAAACTGCAAGGCGATCCCTAAACCCTAAACCCTAAACCCTAAACCCTAAGCCCCACAGCCTCGGGCACAGGGCGCGTATCGAAACCGCCAATCGTCCAGCCCACAGCCATCTGCAGGGCCTGGCGCACTTCCAAGGCATGGGGCTTTAGGAGTTTAGGGGTTTAGGGGTTTAGGGTTTAGGGTTTAGGGTTTAGGGGATTAGGGGTTTAGGGGTTTAGGGGTTTAGGGGTTTAGGGGTTTAGGGGTTTAGGGGTTTGGGCGTTTAGGGGTTTGGGCGTTTAGGGGTTTAGGGTTTAGGGGTTTAGGGGTTTAGGGGTTTAGGGGTTTAGGGGTTTAGGGGTTTAGGGGTTTAGGGTTTAGGGTGTAGGGCTCGCTATACCTGAGTGGGACGCCCTCTCTCCCCAGCTGGGGCCTGCAGGTGGCCCCGCTCTGGATTCACCGCACATCCTCGTGCCCCAGCGGACGGGGTCGCCAGAACCTGCCATTACGGATTATTGTTTTTTTGTGTAATTGTTATATGTATATACATATATATATATATATATATATATTTTTTTTTTTTTTTTTGCTTTGTATCTATTGCTTTGTGTATACGTACTGTTTTATATATTGTTTCAGCACAACTGTGGATGAACGGGAGGCACAGGCCCAGCCACACAATCAAAGGAGCCCACTGCCGGACGAGTGTCTGGACACCCTAAACCCTAAACCCTAAACCCTACTGTGCCCGTCCTCGGCGGCCCGGCGGAAATCTTCAGACTCCCAGGCTGCTGCCGTCAGCGCCTGGGCCTGCCAGGGGCATCCGCAGGTCCGCAGGGGCATCCGGGAATCCCCAAACTCAAACTGAGCCCATAGGGTTTAGGGTTTAGAGTTTAGGGTTTAGGGTGTAGAAACGGAGGCTTTGGATGCACTAAGCTAAGCTGTCGTGAGTGTTTTGGGCACGAGGCTTAGGCAGACTTACTTTTTGAGGTCAGAGGGGCTGTGATCAACGTCATCTTGTGCCCTCCAGCGGTGGGTCAACTCAGTTTAATTAAGCATGTGGGCGAGTGGAATTTCTGTAAAACAGGAGCTTCGAAAGTATTAGCAGAAGCCATAGAAGGCACAAAGGGATTTCCCAGGAGATGTGCAGCTGCTGCGGTTGCCAGACTCTAGACCTTGACAGTGGGAAAACATCTCACGAGATCTGTCGCGTTCGGCTCCGAAAAAGCTGGCAGGAGAAAGGCCTGAGTTTGTCGGCATTTTACAGACAGCGAGACGCAGCTTCGGATGTTGAAAGGAAAAGTGCCAATGATAAGTCTTGAGCTTAACTGCAAAGCCTCGAAACCCTGTCTTCCCAACAATCCCAACCCATATTGGGCTTTCCGAAATTAGGGGCACCTTGTTGGGATCCTTCCTATTTGGGGATCTATACTGGGGGGTCCCCTATGTTCGTAAACCCCCATGTCCCTTGCCTCTGGATCCGCGGCGCACAGCTTTCGCGGCTCGTCCATGCTGTAGCCCCATGCCGCGCCGCGCGAGAGATCGAAGCGCAAGGGTCGATTTTGGGTTGTTGTTTTTTTATTAAAGGTTGAGGGTTGAGGGTTGAGAGTTTAGGGTTGAGGGTTTCGGGTTTAGGGTGCAACCGCCAAAGACCGCTGATGCCTCTGCTGCCTCCGGGATTTCACGGCTGAAGGGCCTTGGATCTCGTTCTGGGCGGCTGGGAGGTCGCGAGGGAATGGATCGCTAGGAAGCTTTCCGGCTGAACGCTGCAATTCCCAAGTCAGAGGGTTGGCTGAGGCTGGCGTATGCAGAGTCAGATGTCTCATGATGTCCCTTCACCCCGACCCTACACTGCGAGGATGGCCCTTCATGCCCTCTGAAAACATATTCCTGAACATGATCCTCTTATTTAGGGGTTTTTGTTAACGTTCAAAACCTCAAAGCCCTCTGGAAGATATTCCTGAATATGATCCTCTTAAACCGAATAAAGTGTAAAAACGTCCCAGGGGCCTACCTGGACTCTAAACCTCCACCAGAAACTGCTCCAGGTTGTCGGATTCAGGGTGCCGAGGCCGTTTTGGGACATTCGCAACAAGATCATCTGTTCGGCACGTGCACGACTCTCGAACTTCACGGCTCTTCAGGATTGCGGAGTTTAAGGCCCAAGGAGCTGCCAAAGACCTGAGGCACATGGGATCCCTCTCAGAACCTGTAGGTGAAGAATGTGAAGAAGAACCAAGGGGTTCTCAAAAGTCTGAGCCATTTTTGAGCAGATAATAATGCTAATAATAATAACAATAATAATAATAAAGCCCCGGAACTTAGCTGAACTATGCCGGAACTCTGCTCTTCAATGTTCAACATGCCTTGAAGGTGCGCTGCTCCAGCAGGTGCTCGCAGTCAAAAAGCCTCCCAGGCTTCCGCACTTCTGCATCTGTTTAGGGCTTAGTGGTGTTTAGGGTTTAGGGTTTAGGGTTTTTGGTTTAGGGTTTAGGGTTTAGGATATCGGGGCTCTGGAAGGGGGTTGGAACAGCTCGATTTGGTCGCAAGATGGTGCAAGGACCCCCCACATGGGCTTGCAACATCCCAAGAGGAGGGTCCGAACAGAGGACCTGGCCACCTTGGAAGCCCCTGAATCCAAGGGTAGCCGTGGGAAGTCGTCGCGGTGTTCTAGGCAAGTGGCATCTGCTGCCAGGCGCGGATGTCCTGGAACTCGTCGATCATCTCCTGGCCACTTGGGGATTTTCTGGGACCTGCATCTGCCGAGTTCCAGGGCCCACGTCGTGGCCAAAGATGATATCCCCAAGGCTGGAACCCTCAGTAGTAGGTCGTTCAATGACGAAGGTTGCTTTGGCATCGGTCATTTATATTTTGGCTCAAGGCGATGTGTGCGGCGACCGCCTGCCAGTACTCACGTCCAAGAAACTGCAAACTATGCAAACGAATTCAAACCATAAACTATTCTCAACTTCTAACGGTGCAGAATTTTGGCTATATTTGCTTCATTGAGTTCTGCATACAGCTCTCAGCCCTCCTATGCTCTCTATGGATGCACTGCATACACAAGTTGGCGAGCTGCGAGATAGGACGCCCATGTGAAGCACTGTAAAGCACTCCCAAAACTTACCTGGTGCCTGTCGGATCGACGTAAAGGCTGAATGCAAGAGGTTGTTGTCTGAATTGACGACGGTACCCTAAATCCAAGACCCTAAACCCTAAACCCTAAACCCTAAACCCTAAACCCTAAACCCTAAACCCTAAACCCTAAACCCAGACTTCTGAACCCTAAAGACGCCGGGTCCTTCAAGGTGTTTCCTCGAAACTGCTCCAGCTGCTGCTCGAAGTCGACCAGCTCTGCCGCGCTGGTCGGCCTGGGCACATGCAATCTGAAGTGGAAACTTCGGGGTTTAGGGTTTAGGGTTTAGGGTTTAGGGTTCCCAAGGCCGTAGAGTTCAGGGATGTAAAGATGACTGCGATGAGTTGCCAGGGAGGAAGGGGGTGCAGGGAGAAGGGGGGGAAGGGGAGGGGAAAGGATGCTCCTTGCTTTCTTAACTGTGTGATCTTGGGTGCTGCTTGGGGGACCGGGGATTGCTGTCAGACCCCTGAAGCCGCAGGAACTCGAAAGGATGTAAGCCTGGCACAAGGAGGCTTAAGGGCAAGGAGTCTTCAGTCCCTAAAGTCCCCGAACTCCGTTTTCAAGCATTTCGAGCCCGCCGCTTCTTGGATAACGCAGTGACCTCAGCAGGCTGTGCCTAAAACAGGCCCCCTTTTCGAGCCTGCACTGACACAACCCCAGAACTCCAACGAATCCCATTCAACATCGCTTCAGCCTTGACGCCTTGGAGCATTTTGATGCACTGCACCCTGGAACTTCTGGATAAAAACGTTAAATCTTACCGGTCCAACACCATTACCTCCAGTTCTCCTAGGGGGACCGGGTAGTTTTCCTCTTTAATTGTCGAAGCCCATTCATCCACAGACGGCGCTGCAAAAGCGCCTCCACTTTCAACGACGGTCGAGCTACAATCAAAAGATGCAAGGCGATCCCTCCCCCTAAACCCTAAACCCTACACCCAAACCCTAAACCAAACCCTAAGCTCTATGCCTGCAAGGATAGCAAGTGGGGGAGGTCTCAGGAATAACTTGTCGCTGTCGTTCGCCTTCGCGTGTGCGCAGTGGTTTTTACTCGTTGAAAGCTCTTTGGAAAAGCAAGCTTCCGCCCGCGGGTTTCCACGGACCCTAAACCCTAAACCCTAAAGCTCGCCCTATTTGTTGCCTCCGCGGCTTACGCAAGAGGTGGCAGCGCAGTTCATCGGCTGCTTCGGGTTGGGCCAGCTGTCTTCAAATCCGCTGTTCGCAAATAGAAGTTCTGTTTGGGACAAAAGGCAAAAGCTGAGGCAGTCCAGAGTATGGAAGGGAATTCCGGGTTCAAGGATGCAGGGCTCTGAGGTAATTGTAGGTTTGAAGGCTTTTGGATTCTCTGGATCTGTTGCAAAGGTTTGCGCTGCACCTCTCAAATCAATCTTCAGTACCGCATCAGACGGACGCAGGTTCCGTCACCTTCCCAACTGCCCCATACCCTCAAACCCAGGGTTTGGAACTCAAAAATTGGGGTTTCAAAGCAGACGTCAGCGCTCCTGAGCTTAGAACTACAGGGCGGGAGCGAAAGACGCATGTTTGGGATCCCGGATATTTGAGTCTTTTGGCACACAACCGCAAAAAAAAAACGTCGTGTGGTGTACATGCGTCGCCGCCGAGCTGAGGATCTGGCAATGTTGTCGAAGCTCTTGCAGAGCCTCTGAGCGTCGTGTTTGGAAGTTCGCAGAGAAGATTTCAGAGCATCGGGAAGCCGCATCCCCAAACCAACTCGTATTCCACTACAAGCCCAGCTATTTCAGCCACTGCGCTACTGTGTGCTTTGTTAGACACTCCATGCACGGGGACGCTGCAGCCAAAGAGCCGCTCATTCCTCTCCAGATTCATGCCAACCACATGGTCCAGCAGCGTCTTCATGCCTGGCACTGCATGGGCTAAAAGTGAGGAGCAGGCTTCAAGGACCTTTAGGGGGGGGAAACCATGGAACAGTCGCCGAAAACAACTACTTGACGGGTGCGAACCCTGCACCCCCTTCGAGGCAAAAAGAGGAATCTCCTTTAGCCTCACGTCCCAACAGCCTAGCCAGTTCAAAAGCCCCGCAATAGTAAGCTGTCTAACTGACATGCGCCGAACATCCAAAACCATGAGTGTCTTTTGGGTCTCTGTATGTCTCGGTCACACCTTCTGCATCCTACACACGCCCAGGCCCCGCGCAGTCCGCGGCCCGGCTGCGCAGCGTCTCGTTCAGCTCCCGGCAATCCTGGCTTTGGTCCATGCTTCAAGGGTTGAGGGTCGTAGACTTTCGAGCCTTTGGGTTTGTTTTGTGCCTGAGCGATTATTGCTTGGTGTGGAGCCCTGTTTCGCCGCCCTGGATGGCCTTGCACGCGCGCGCGGCCGCGCGCGCGCGCGTACGAGCCCTGTCAACACTGGCACGGCTGATGCTCCAAAACGCCGGAACGGTGTCGGGGTCCATATCCTTGAGACAGGTCTCGCTGGCGTTTCGTTTTTTGGAGTATTGCCTTGAGCCGCCATCACGTCTCCTGCCATCGTCAGGTTGGTTTGGGCTTTGCGGGCAGCCGCCGGAACCCCCGTCAAACGTGGTATGGCAGGCGCAGAAGGGAAACCTGCTTACAGCCATGCCTGTCGCTCCAACAAAAACCGTCTAGCACCCGGTCAAAAGTTCCCCTTCGAGCTCTTGAAAGTGCTATTAAGAGTTTTTTGGTGGGAGGCACTGACGTGGGTTCATATAGGTTGTTTATCACTGGATTTTGATCACTCAATTTCTGTGTTATGGATTACGTAGGGCTTGAATTCTCAGCATCCTCCGTCTCTGAATTCCTTTGTTTGGCTTGGATCTTGGACATGTGGGATTTCTTTTGCTCTGACCTTCGCATCCTTCTATGTTTGATCTCGTTGTGGCCTTGGCATTGTCAGTGCTTCTTCGGTTTGTGGGTGCATGCATATCGAGAAGTTGGACCACCCACCTCCTCTACTCAAGGCGTGGTTTTGCTGATGATGGAAGTGACAGGAAGGGTGCATTCGTTTTGTTTGCTCACTGTCCACTTCTTGTGGGATGGGCGGTGCGCTCACTGACTCTGTGGCCCAGACACTGCCCAAGTCAGGTTTACTGCGAAGATTGCTTGAAGGCATCTTTAGAATTCTATGACAGTACATCCAAGAGAAGAAGCCCCCTAGCTTCTCATTCTATAGGGTCTGCGCCAGGAATGCAAAGTAAGCTTATGACATAGAACCACCCGCGTCGGAAAAAGTGTCAGCAAATCCTCAAAGGTGTCGTGCGGACAAAACGCATGTTAGCAAGAAGGAACGAAGCAATATTGGAACTGGTCCTGGCACAAATCCAAAGAATCCAAGCAATGATGGAACTGACCCTGGCCTAAATCCTGGAAAAAGGATTATAAAAAATAAGCTGGTTTTTCTATCTGTGCCACCACCAAGAAGCCTCAGAATGCTAATACTGCCAAAAAACCAAGCCAGAGAAAAAGAGGACGCATTCGGAGCTTTAAGATCCCGACCACGGTAACCATCTGCATGCGCATCTCGTTGGGTAGCTCGCGCCTTGGCCCAGATGTTCGTTTCTGAGAGGTTTCGAGATGTTTGGTAGGAATTGTCGATCAAGCCAACTCAAAAGTCAGAAGGCAACAGTCAAATTCCGTGGTGCCGATGGTGAGAGGGATTTAGATGGGGTGGACTTGCAAGCTGGGAGGTTGAGAGTTGGATGAAAGGTGCTTAGTCACAATTCAAAGGGGCACCACCCAGTTCTGTGGTTTAGGGTTTAGGGTTTAGGGTTAGGGTTTAGGGTTTAGGGTTTAGGGTTTAGTAAGGAAGGGTCCCCCTTTGTCATGTCCGAGACCGCTGCCGGATGCGCAGATCAATGGCCTCCAGGTGTGCAATCTACATCCTTGACCTTAAACATGCCCCCAACTCTCCTACAACTCAAAGCCATGGGTTTACGATATTGGGGGTACCTTATTGGGGTCCTTTTTGTGAGGGGGTCCTACTAGTGTCTATGTGAGAGGTCCCTTTTTTTCTAAACCCCCATGTGCCCTCAAGCCCAACTACTGAAGCTGTGATTGTCTACAAAGGTGCATGAGATAAGGTGCTTGAGTCCCGCGATACCTCGTTTACATTCTGTGCAACGGTGTACAATGTACATGTTCAGAAAACTCTTCCCCTAAACCCGAGACCCTGAACCCTAAACCCTAAACCTTGTCGAACTGCGGTAAGTTGAACTCCCCAGGCTTGCACCCTTAGATGGCTCGAGAACACTACACTCCGAGCGAGGTATGGCCTTGCCGGCCTCCACAACCCTAAACCCTAAACCCTAGACCCTAGATCCCAAACCCTGAAGATGTTGCGAGTCTCTGGAACTGGAGACTTCGGCCGGTGCCCAGAACATCTTGGAACAGTAAATGTTGCAAAGTCACCTCTTACAATGAACACAAGATGTGCAATTGTGACTTGTTCTATCGAAAACGATGTTTTGAAGTGCTTCGGGTTTTGCGAACGGAGAATGAACATGAGAGAGCATGGGAAGGTGGAACTTGCAAAAATCTTCAGACGTCACGCGTGCCCTTTGGTGTTGCCCACAGCAGCACAACACGTACAACTCATCCGACTAACCAAGAACCTTCACCAACCAAGCAGCATTGAGATCTAAAGGCCTTGAGGGCATCGACCTTCTCCAAGTACTTCGGTATGGATGCAGAAGCGTCCTCAGGAAAGCGAATGCCCACAGGGCTCAGCCACTCACCCTAAAAGAATAAACCACGCACGCCGCCAATCGTGCCTGGATTCCCCCTGGCAAAGCCGCAAAACTGTCAACCCGGACAGGGTCTCCTGAAGGAATTCCTTGATGCGTTCCTCCTCGGTGATGAGGAAGGTATACCTGGAAGGATTGTCGCTATGAAGGATACTTGCGACCACGTTGCGTGTAGCGTTCTGAGGCGTTCGAAGTCAAGGCGAACATGTGAATCAATAAAAACGCACTCTGACCTAAATGACCCTAAACCCTAAACCCTAAACCCTAAACCCTAAACCCTAAACCCTAAACCCGATGAGCTGAGGAGAGCGCTCATCGTAAATCCGCACAGCCTGCGACTGCAGCGCCCCCACCCGAGAAAGGAAATCGCAAAGGGCTGAACCAAAGGGGTTAGGGTTTAGGGTTTAGGGTTTAGGGTACGGGGGGACAACCAAGGAAGGAAATCAACTCCCCTAATCGCCCTGAACTTATATTTCCCAGATCGAACCAAGAAACAACCAAGAACACGGATAAGAGCAACCCAGGGGGAAAGGAAAGGGGGAAGGAATCCACACCCTTACCAAACCCTAAGAACCCAGGCACTACTTTTTGAACTTGTGGCTTTCTGTTCAAGCCCATCTTGAGCCAAACATGGTTTACGGGTTCATTAACCCTTTCAACTTCCAACACTAACTCCTTTCTACAATACCAATTGCAGCTCCGCACTCCCCCTGTCCTAGGATTTCCTAGGACACATTGGAGATGCAGATCTTTTGGCCAAAAACTGCCATTAAGGCAGCAGCCAGCTGCTTGAAATGCAAGTTGTGGTTTAACGTCTTCCAGGACGGAATTATAGCACATTGGCTAACCTACTACCCATAGAGAATCTCTTTTCACCATGATCCTCTCATCACTGAAGACTCCTTGGCCTTCTTCACCACAAACCGTGGTCTTCGCTACGCGAAAAGCTACTGACTTCTACTATCAGGGATTTCCATACCCTTAATAGTAACCACCACATTGTCAGCACATTGGCTGTTCCAGCGCACCCGTCTCCAGAAAGAGAAAAACTATCCCTTCATCCATACCATCCAATCACTTCTTTTTCCGATTGTTGGCAATCTTGAGGTGAAGTTGCAGCAGAATATACTCCAGGTCCGAAACTGTAAGAACAGGATCCTGTACGCCCCTTTGAATTGAGGATACCAATCCTTCTCTCTTTGCGTCCTCAATCGCCTGGCAAGATTGACCCAGCTCTGCATTCGCAGTGGCAGACCCTGGTGCATCCGCATCAGATGGACGATCCTTTTCCTCAGGATCTTGCACCATTACCACCTCTTCTTTTTTGGGACTCTGACTTTTCTCCCTCTTCTTTGTCTTTCCACCGACATTTGACTTTGTGCGCGTCTTCGAGGATTTTTCCACTGCAGAAGCCACCACATTGGATGTTGATCCACCCTTCTCAATGATCGTCGGCATCTTCTTCGGCTTTGGAACCATGAGAGTGTAAGGATCTTCGATAGCTGCAGCTTTCCTCTTCTTTTTTACCTTTTTCTTCTCTTCTTCAACGGCAACCTCCGTCTCCGAAGTCTCAACCACTCCTTTTTCGGCAGGAATATCCTTGCTGGACTCCCTTTCTAGGGATCTCTTTTTACCTCTTTTGGGATCCTTTTCCTCTCCCAAATTGGCTCGCTCATACCATATCCTCAGGTCATTGACCCATTCTTCCACCTCCGCGAGCGAAACTTCATACGACTTCACTACTTCGAGAAGTTCCAGCACGGTCAACATTTCAGTGGTCCACGAAACCCATACTTGATCCATTTGGTCAGCATCTCCAGTGAACTTCAGGAGTTTGAACAATGGGTCCGCCTCTGCTCGAGCCAAATCTGGCTTGCCACCGGACAGAAATGAAATCGCCTCCATCAACAGTTCCGTCATCTTGGTCTCTTCGTCATAAACCATAAAATCCTCCTCATCATCATCGAACTGTTCAGGAGAGATCTCCTTTTCTCCACCATTTGCACCAGACTTTCTCCTTGGACCATCCCTTGGGGGCGTCCTTGGAGACCTTGGCCTCTGTTCTTCCAGCGGAACACCATGCTCGAAGACACACCTGTCACCAAATCGACACTTCCCAGACCGAGCAAACTGGACGCACCTCACACCAGTTGCATCATGCGAGAACCCACAATCCTTTCCAGCGAAACATTCTCTCCCTGCCACATAGTATTTGCACCAATATGAATGTAGCACCACATCATCTTCGGAATGGATGAATTTGCAGTCGTCACCGAATTTGCAGCGATCTTTCCCCTTGCCGAACCAATAGCAGAAACCCTTCTTCCTCTTCTCCAAGCGCTCTGCCTCATACCGGTCCATAGGGCGATTGTGCTCTACATGAACATTGCCATGTACCTGGGGACTGCTCCCTTCACCCGACGTGCTATCAGTATTTGGTGCTTGGAGTACAGCTGGAAAACCTGGCCTTGGTCCTACCACCTTCATGATCGGTTTTCCGCCAACTCCTGAGCCATGCTGAGACGATCCAAAAACATTGAACATCTTCATGAAGGCCTGTCTAGTGCCAATCTTCTGCACCCTTTTGATTGGACGTTTCATTGCTCCAACCTTGCATCCAGATGCGTTCAAACGACACAACCTCCGATAACCAACTCTATGTCCCTTCTTCCAAAGAGCCATAAGAATTTTAG